GAGGTGGCGGGGGTGTGGGGATGGGCGGATATCTACGATGATCCCGACCCTAAGCTCTGATACAGTCAAGCAGACTGTTTTCCATCCTCCTGATGAAGCTCACATCTTCATTGCCCAGCTCAATTCTCCCGGTGGTCATATCTTTGATCCGCTCGATCCCATCAGCCTAAATCACAAAAAAAAAGTTAGAAAAAGATTTAGGAACCAAGTAATAAATTTAATTGTTTAGACGGAATATACTTACTAATGCACCATCGGCCGCACCCTCCGGAGTCATGTAACGAACCGATGTTTGCCGATATCGATCCAAGTATGGGTCATGATACCCCATTCGACCCACTTGAGTTGGAGTGACAATATCCTGGGATTGTCGGTTCTCCCAAATCGCGATGAATTTCGCCAACTTCGTGGCCAATCGCAAGTAACTTGCCGACCATCTCGGCCATGAAAGGCCCTTTGACTATCGGGGGACCTCCAATGAATGCACTGCTCCCGACCAAACTGATGGAGGCATCGATCCGGCAAGTGCCACTCCATGGTCCCAAAACAAATTAGAGGGACCCTCGTGCACCATTGCCCGATATGACCGGGGAATTGATGGAGATGCCAATGAACGATGTTCTCCGGGTGTGGATCGAAGACGGTCTACAAGAAAGAAATGAGTAACTTAAGATTAATTAATTAGAAAAATACATGTAGTCCCATGGAAAAAAGATATAAATGGATCAAAGTATAGAAGTTACCACTCCTTCCCAAAGTCGTTCAAACCTCCTCCGATACTTGTCCAACTTGTGTTGGGCAAGGTTGTCGCATGTTGTGTGTCCGAGCCACCTTATTAATAAGACAATAATGAAACTACAATAAGCTAAAACACAAGGGAAAATGTGTTATGAAAAACATGATGGGGTATGAGAAGTTTACCTTGTACCATAAGCTTCACCTCTTAGGGGATGATTGATTGGCCAATCCCTGTCGGGACGTTGGACCGGTTCAATCCATGGCATATGCTCCCAAGCCCAAAATTGGACGATGAACATTGCGCCACCGACCTCCCTCACAGCTTTTAGAGACGCATTGCACAAGTTGTGGTAGATCATAGCTAGGCAAGCGGATGCCCAACTATACTCCCCATCTCCTCCCAACTACCGAGGATGATCCTAAGCCATCCACAACTAAGGAGATTGCTTGATTTTTTGGAGAAGAACACTCCTCCGATCATGCCTATGAGATAGACACGAGCAGATCTCTCCTTCTCATCCTCCGGACTTTCCTCGGTTAGGGGATGACTCTCGTAATGGTCTCTAAAATACTTCGTCAACTAAGTAATTGAGACTTGGTGTTTCCTCATTGGTGGCATGCGATCGGTCGCATCAACGCACCCCTTCACCGGTACTTTCACTCCCAAAACACTGTGGATGAAATGAACCCAACCGGGCATACCGTCACGATCCTCGGGGGGATGATCACTCACGCACACCGGTTTGCCGTCGATGGGCAGATGGGTTAGGATGGCGACATCCTTTAGCGTGATGGTGGCCTCTCCTTCTCTAAAGTTGAAACAATGGGTCTCCTTTCTCCATCTCTCGGCTAATGCGGTGACGAGTTGGCGATCAACTTTGATGCCGTTAAAATGCCTAATCGGGTCCAACCGTGCCCTTTTGAGAAAGGGCAAGATAGCTGGGTGGAATGGGAGCACATTGGTCGTACCCCTGTAGCGGATTATTGTTTGTGCCTCCTAGCGAAAATTTACACGTTAATTATTATATATTAGTAAGGGTTTTTTTTCTTATAACTAAATTAATTAAATTAAATTATTTAACTTCAAGCAGAATTTTATTATCATAAAAAGATATTTCATATAATTAACATAATAACATTCTAAATCAATAATAATTTAAAGAGATACATACATATTATCATAAAATAAACATCCTAAATTAATTAACATAATAACATTCTAAATGAATAATAATTTAAAGAGATACATACATATTATCGTAAAATAAACATACTAAATTAATTAACATAAATAACATTGTTAATGAATAATAATTTAAAGAGAAACATACATATTCAAATGTTTGAAATTAATAAAATTTATTTTGTACACATAAAAATAAATCGTATTGGTTGTTTGGTAAATAATTTAATCGTATTGGTTGTTTTAAATAATTTAATCGAATACAGAGCAACACTCGTTAGACTCTTAGAAGGGGTATACATCTTCTTAGAAACACAGTTTTTTTGACAGAAAAAGGGGGGATCCGAGGATCTCTTAATACCCGATTTTCCCAGGGAATGGGAGGATATGATAATCGCTTAAAACCCCATTTCCTTAAATGTGCATCTCTTTATAAAGAGTCGAAGTAAGTGGCGCTATGTATTCGATTAAATTATTGAAAACAACCAACATGATTAAAAATTCAACATAAATTTATTTTATATTACACTAAATAAATTAACAAAATAAAAGAAGGACAAATGGTGAAGAATTGTATGTACCGGGTGATCGTTCCAAACATCCCTTGACCGATGGTTGGGTTGGTCGTACAAGTCGGTTGGATCCAACGGTCCTTGCTCGAGATAATACCGTTGGTTGTATATATCCACTTCCTCCCCAACTTACGAGAAAATAACAACGAGGTTAGTACATAGATTAATTAAAAAGCTTATAACAACAACAAAAATTAAACCAGAATAATGAGTACGTACCGCTTGAAATTCATCAACATAAACTCCCTCTCCTTGCCACCAATCGGCCATTTTTTCGGGAAATTCGGACAGAGATTCGGCTCGGCGGGTTTTGAGGAAAAAACCAAAATTCGGACAAAGATTCGGCTCGGCGGGTTTTGAGGAAAAAACCTCAGAAATATTTTCTGATGGCAGATCGGACTTAGCCGCAACCAACAAACCACTATTTCCTAGGCTTTTGAGAGGGGATGGTTTAGAGAGATAAATTCTAGAGAGAGAAGGAAGAATGGGTTGTGGTGTGAAGAAATGAGAGGGGAAGGGGGGTATTTATACTTATCAGACCGCACCCTTCAGGGGCGGTCTGGTAATTTTCCCCTCGCAGAAATTGCTCCCTTTCGATACGTTTTGCGAGTCACGAGGCTCTGACCGCTCCTTGCATGTGCGGTCCCCGATCCGTGGCGCGGATCCTCTGCTGGCTCGCGGTCCGCCCTCCGATCGCTCCTCCATCTAACGGTCTTGAAGACCGTTCCGCAGAGTAAGTAAACCGCAGCTTCCTAGTGCGTTCCGCGTGCTGACGTGGCATGGAACGCACCCCTAAGGTGCGGTTTATAAGTAAAACGCACCTGTAGGGTGCGGTTTACTTATAAAATGCACCTTAGGGGTGCGTTCCATTAAAAATGGTGCTATTTCTGTCAATTTTTTTGGATGGGTGCTTGTTTTGTAATTTTTTTTAAACGTGATATTATTGGAAAAATCTCCTACCGGGAGCATGTCTAATCTTTGGCGGGGGATCCTCCGTGTTTCGGATAAAATTCAGGATGCTACGGCGTGGAATATCAGGAATGGGAGGAGAGCCAGATTTTGGAAGGATCGGTGGCTTCATGATGGCGAGCCACTTTGCACCCTCGTTCACGACCTCCCCACTACAGCACTTGACATGCCCGTGGCTTATCTTGTCTTAAATGGTGAGTGGAACCATACATACATTAATCATTTCTTACCAAATAATGTGGCTTTGCAGGTCTACCTCCATCCGGTGCCAGGGGAGATCGAGGATGACACCCGGTGCTGGAGATTCTCGACGGACGGAAGATTCTCATTTAGGTCGGTGTATGAGATCACAGGGGAGGACGAGTCAACGGCTTCTCACAGGCACCCACGTTGGCGGTCCATTTGGCGAGTTCTAGCGCTGCAGCGAATGAGGACTTTTTTGTGGCTCGCTACACATCAGAGGCTTATTACAAATGCCGAATGCAAGAGGAGACATCTTACGACGGAGGATGGCTGCAAGACCTGCGGAGACGGACCTGAGACAACTCTCCACGTGCTTCGAGAGTGTCCCTACGCTCGTGCGGCATGGGCAGAGTTGCTTCGTGACGAGCCGGATAGTGACTTTTTTTAGCCAGACCTTGGGAGATGGATGATGCATTACACAACAGGGCGAGGCTACAACATTGACAACACTCTCTTTACGGCTATGTGTTGGCTGCTATGGAAGAACCAGAATGAATTCTGCTTCCAAGGTGAGTTAAAGTCATATGCACAGTTCCATGACAGTGCTGCTACTCTGCGACAACAAATCCATCAAGCATTTGAGAAGGAGACACATATGTTTGGAGCCAGGGGACTTCAACAACTAAGACTTATCAACTGGCAACCACCACCACCAGGATGGACATGTCTAACTACTGATGGATCAGTGGTCCACTCTCCTTCAAGTACAACAGCAGGCGGAGTCGTTTGGGAGACGACGGCCGCCTCATTACTGCTTTTGCTGCGAACTTGGGGGGGGGGGGGTTCTATTACGAGTGCAGAACTGGCAGGAATTGTGCATGGACTGAAACTCGCTTAGGAGGCAGGAGTTAGGAAGGTAATTCTACAGACAGATTCTGCTACGGCTAAGTCCCTTATTGAGACGGCCACACCTCAACACATCCATTACACGAGCGTCGCTGAGATACGACGTTGGTTAGCTCGGGACTAGCAAGTCCTCATTACTCATATTTACAGGGAAGCGAACGTTGTTGCAGACTATCTCGCTAATCTGGGTCACTCTCTTCCTATTGGTTTGCATAATATTGTGAATCCGGATAGTGTTTTGGCTTACTGGTTGTACCATGACATTATTGGAGTTCAGACATCACGTTCAGTTATTGAATAAAGGTTGGGGCGCCCTTTAAGCGCTTTGTTTTGTAAAAAAAAGAAAATTAATAAGACTATAATAATTTAATTTAGTTTTCTTAACCATGAAAATATTGTTCAGAAATGTGTGAACAGTAATTAAAATCATCATTCAAAAAGTCAAAGGAGCAAATATTAATATCAACCTTAATCCACATTTTCGCTATCTAGTATTCTAGTCTACCAACCAACGGCCGACGGCGATGGACGTTGCAGCTATCAGTGCTGTCAGTGTGGCAACGCTGGCGGCGATGAAGAGCAGCTCCGCCTGCTATTGCAAGAGTATCGCCATGGAAATCAGGTGGGCGAGAAAACCCAGAAGCAACTCTCAGAACCCGACAAGGACCGCGCTCAATTCTATATCTCCCGTGGAAACAAGCGTTCCTCTCTACATCTCTGCAAACCCATCTCACGTCCAGCCCCAACAGCTCCGCCGCCTCTTCGCCCTTTGTAACCACTCCTGCCACCGTTTCCCCAAGTTAATTCAACGTTCAGAATATGGAGAGGCCGCGGCAACGGCGGCCGTCGAAGATGTCGATGTGGAGAAGCTCGGAATTGCTCTCTCTCATAGCTCTGTGCTCGTATCCGTCTTCTGCAAACCGCGGGATGTTGGGATTCGGGATCAAGAAGAGGAAGAAAAAGGAGGAGATGGTCTGATGGGTTTGGGAGATGTATTGCAGAGGTTGATCCCTCCGGCTCTGATGATCTCGCCCTCTAATGGGCAGCTCGTAGGTTTTGGTCGAGCTGTTTCAGATTCAGGATTGACTGCATCCATCCATGATGTGGTGGTAAAGTTTAACTACAAGAAAGATTCCAGTTGAAAATTTTGCGTACCATTGCGTTTGAAATTTTGGAGTTTGGCTTGTTGTGGGGTGGATGATGTTCATATGATTTGCGGTTTCTCAGTGGCTTCCATTCCCCAGGTTGTCCCTCAGTTGCGAGGAATGGGAATTGGGAAGATGATCCTTCAGAAAATCACAAGGTAGTTCCTTTATGCAGAGTCTTGGAGCTTGGCCAGCGGTACCTTTGCCGAGTGCCAAAAAGATTTTGATAAGTGTCGTGGGTTTCTCCTTTATGTTGATTTCAGAATACTGATTAGCAGAGACATTTATGACATTGCAGCCCTTTGCTCTGCCAATGAAAGGTAATTTAAGCGGAGCCATCTTCCCATTGATTCTCTGCTGTTGTTAGGTTGATTGAATTAAGGGTTTGAGTGTGGTTCTGGTTTGGGTTTTCCAGATCGTTCTTCAAAGCTTGTGGGTTTGGAGATGACATTTTGGGATCTACCACAATGATGTACACAAGGACTGCTCCAACCTGTGATAATGCTGGTGGAGATTATCAGGATCACATGGCGAAACGTGTAGGTAGAAAACTCTTGCTAATTCCACCTCCCAGAGAGTTACCTTCTCTTAAGGTAACTGTTGGAGAATCTGCAGAGGACTGAGCTTGTATAGTTCAACTCCACAGCCATTTGGGTAGAATATAGACTACAGCAGAGATCCCAGTCCCAGGTTAGAAATCGATTGTTGTACTCTGGTCTAGTCTCTTAGCTCAATATATTTACTCGTTTTCGCCATGTGGGATTCTGTCAAAATCTCGACTTTAAGCTTATGCTTTACTACCTTATCCATCTATAAACTAATTTAATCTTTACAGTGTCCGAACAGAGAGTTTCGTGTCATTGACATGTTCTGTATTCTCTTCTCTCTTTGCTTGTTTGTGGTGCACTTTCGACAGCCAAAAACGGGTTTGGCATTTTGTCCTTTGATTAGTGGTTTTGGCATAAAAATTTCAATTTGTTCTTTCACCAAGTAAAGTAGTAATGCAGACTACAGGGTTACAGATAATGCATTGTTATTCTCTTTTCCTTTCTCCTTGAACCCACTTTGTGAAAAGTAGAGCCAATCGATCTCAGGTAGAAATGTAAAGGCAAAAGTTCAGTTCTGTTGATGAGCATCTCTATGTGCATTCTTCCTCTCTGATTCCTGCAATGGGTGGTAAGATATGGGTAGAAGTAAGTCTCATCTCTGCTCGAGGCGTTAAGCATTCTTACTCCTTCTGGAAGAGGCAGTTGTATCCTGCTGTTTGGATTGTCCCCTCCCCTATAACAAGTGCTGCACCAACATTGCAAAAGATGGCTCTGGAAATGTAAACCCCACATGGAAGATCAAGTTTGCTGGATGATATGATTTCCAGGACATGGCGCTAACTGTTGAAGTCTATAGTCAAGAGCCCATTTTCCTCAGCGAAAGCCTTTGAAGGGACCTTGACCATCCTCCTAAAAGAGTCTCTGGCAAAGTACAGCAATAAGAAGACCTCCTCCTCATATGGGTCTGAAGAAGTCGGGAGCAACCAGCTGTGCAAACGAAACTCTAACAAACCCCAGAGTTTGTTGATGTTTCGATCCAGATCACAGACGAAAGAGAAGAACCTTGTTCAGGGTTCACACCTGGCTTCAGGTACTCGTGGAATTGTCTTGTTGCATGCAATGTAGTAAAAATCCCAAGTCGACTCCTAAGCTTGCTAGTACATCAATGAACTTGGTAGAATATACGCTGTATATGCTCCTGCCCCTATTTCATGATTGCATATTTGGACAGGTTACGCTTATCGATATTGCATATGGATACCACGATCTTGTTATGGTACTATTTGGCAAAATTTGCAGGGTGACTTAGAATACCTATGACTTTTATGCGATTGTAAAATCTTTAGATTCTTGGATTCCAGCTTACAACTCAAATTTTACGTAGGTTTTTGATTTCATGTAAGTAGACTTTATAGTTTGACTATCTGGGATGTTAATGAATGAACGCTGAATGTTCAAGAGTTGTGGATGTTAAATGCTTTAGAGATAGTAGAAATATAGCAAAAGGAATTTCGCTCTTAGATAAGACTGAAACATTGTTGTGGCTGTTGCAACTTAGAGAAGGAATTTCAAACTTTTGAATACTTCATATTTGCTGTTGCCCTACAGCAGATTGATTTTGATCTGACAAAAATGGTGGAAAGGTGAAATATTGATTCGACTAGCAGGTAGTTATATCATCTCCCGATAAAATTGGTTCCTGATAGCTGATGTAGTTGTGTTTGCAATGCAGGTGGTGAGGGAGGAATTATATACCCACCTTTCTTCAGAGTACATAAACGGTCCGGCATCTGCAGCAGTAACTAAAGGGGCAGCAAGACCGCTGGCCGCTGGAGTTGGATGAGCTCTTGCTGCTGGTGCTGTGATCTTCGGAGATTATATCATTTCTAGATTTAGCATCCCAACAAGCTTACAAAGATCCTAGTCTTACAATTTTTTACGGATCCTAATTTCTGATAACTATAATGCATAGCTGAATGCTCATTTTATCATGTAATGAAGTATACAAGATGGGTTCATCTTTTTTTCTCGGTCCCTCACATTGTTGTGTGTGAGTTACATTTTCCTTGTCAAACTAAAATCAATGGCAGCATAGTGTTATTACTTATTACAGACAACAAAATCATGTCTGGAAGAGAGAGCATGAATTCTAGTGAGAAGGCTGCAGAGATGGCTCCTTCATATCACCAAAAGCCCTTTGGAGAAACTTCTGGACGACAGTCACAAACTCTTCCATTTTTTCTTCTTGTGGCAGATGGCCACAATACTTAATTACTTCAAGGCTAGATCCAGGAATGGCTTGTGAAAGTCTCTTAGCATTCCATGCAGGAACGATTCGATCAGTATCCCCGGTCACTACAAGAACTGGGTTTGAAAATGGCAAGAATCTGTGTTAGGCAAAACTCTGAATTAACCAAGATCTTTTGCATCATCACACCATGAATACTTACCAGGACAAGTAATTTCATGAAGCCTTTTTGATACAGGTGCCCTGGCTTCGGAGTCAACAGCTGCAAGAGTTGCTGCGGTGAATTCTGCAAGAGCTTTGTCCCAACCCTTGACTCTTAACGGCTTCATTCCGGTCATGCGAGTTTCCAGAGGTAACAAGTCAGAAATAGAGATCACTTTTCACTTAGCTGCACCATAGTTTCTAATTCTGTGCCAGCAAGTTAAGGAGGGATGAGAGAAACAGTCGACTCACCCTGGTATAACCACTAAGAATTTCTTCATTAGCTTGCTGAGCATCATACCATGCATTCTTCACAGCAAGTACACCAAATTTGTCAATCGCCATCCTGATCTGAACTCCACACAAGCCAATGTATATCATAAGTACATGGAACTTTGAACTGCAGAATGATGATTAAGGTTTCACATTGAAAGCGATAAATATGCCATACCGAAAGGTGAATGAAGTAACAAAGAGACTGAATTTTTTTACCAGCATTAAGCCCAAGGCAGAGCACAGAATGGCAGACAATGCTTTCTTGTATAGGGAGTCAAGCATGTTCATCATCCCATTCAACAGTTTCAGTGTGGCCCGAGCTATAGACGCAGCAAGTCGAGACAACTTCTTTAACAGTGCAATGAATGGATTTCCGAGCACACCTTTAGAATCCGATTTATCCTCTTCAGCCCCCTCCGCAAGGTTACCTCTTCCCGATTCACTTCCTTTTGAACCTTTTGGACTTGGATTGGGCGCAAATATTGCAGGGGCAACAAGTATCAGAGCAGCTACGCGATCGGGAGCCTCAAAGTAGGTATTCACTGCTACAAGAGAACCAGCAGAATGCCTGGTATGTCATGGTTTCAATCATAATGAGGAAAACCCAACATTTTCAACATCACAGACAATTGCTTGGACATCATAACAAGCAGTTAAGGTACATTGAACTCTCAGGGGCCAGGGCCACCAACAATCAATTACAGTGAAATTTGCAGTTCCAATGAAATCCAATGCAGCATGAATTAACACCTCGTAATCACTGGCAAGCAAAGGGGAAAACAAGAGCATTGGAGATGGGGAAATTGGGGAGAACATACCCCACTAGAACTGCTTTGTCAGCCTTCAGGAAATCAATGAAGTACAAGGTAGCAAGCACAGCAAACGCCATGGAGTATGGATTCAATGGCTTGGGATCCTCAGCCTTAAGGGAAGAAGAAGAAGAAGGATCCACTCTGGAGGTCAATCCGAAGGCTGGTCTATCAAAGGCAACAACTTTAGGAGCAGATGTGGCTTCTCCCAACCTCTTCATCGCTCTGCTCCATGAGAACAAAGAAGCTCCAAAGCCATGCAGTAAGACGATAGGAAACCCCAGCTTCTTTTTAGGATCAGAAGAAGCAATTTGAGGCGAAGAGCTATTTTCCCCTGGCGATTGCGATTCGTATAGCTTGTGGTGTATCTTCACACCTCTGAACTCGCAGAAACAACTGTCTGGGTCTGCTAAAAGTTCAGGATCCACCAGTTCATCTTGATCAATGCCAGCTATTTCCTTCTTCCTCTTCTTCTTCACTATCTTCTTCTTTTCCTCTGTGTCCGACAGCTGCTCCGGGAAAGCGCCGGCAGAGCCACTGAGGGAAGACGAAGAAGCAGACGCCGAAATTGATGGACGAGGAATGAATTTGGTAATTGGATTGCCGGTAAGGTTCCCATTCCTCCCCAAAACCAGAGCATCTTGAGAGCTTCTTGGCATACAGAGTCTGAGAGAGCTATGGCGTTTACTAAAGATCTTAGCTTTACGGATTGGGGGAGACGAATTGGAGCTGGAGTGGCCAAAAAAGAGATGGGTTTTCGGGGAACTTTGAAACTGAGCTTGATGACACCGCGAGTGATGATGGGTCGATGCTATTGCTACCCCATTGCCACTCATGGTGGCTGTATATCGAAAAAATCAGACAGAGGGATAAGGTTGGCTGGTTTCTAGGAAAGAACGATGACTGAATAAAGAAATGCGATATGTCTTCAGGAGACGGGAAAACGACAAAAAGCCATTTTTGTTAGCCGGCGCGCCACCAACTACTTGTCTCCATCACTATATCAAGTCATCATCGACAGTTAGAGAAAAAACAGAGAGAATTTCACTCGCAACAGCGAAAATCACCGACGGGCAAGGAACTATGGAGGCTTTGGTGTGCGAGAAGCTTGGGGACCCGGCGACTGCAATCGGTGAAGGTTCACCGATCGTCCTGAGAAAGAACCACCCGGTTCCGCCGCTTGACTCTCCCACCGCCGTTAGAGTCAGGGTCAAAGCCACGAGCTTGAACTTCGCCAATTACCTTCAGGTTCTAGGGAAATACCAGGAGAAGCCACCGCTGCCCTTCATTCCAGGCTCCGATTACGCCGGCGTCGTCGACGCCGTCGGTTCCGGCGTCTCCCTTTTCAAAGTCCGAGACCATGTTTGCTCCTTCGCCGCCCTCGGCTCCTTCGCCCAGTTCATCGTCGCCGATCAGTCCGAACTGTAAGCAAATCACCTCTTCAATTACTTATTCTCTCCCATTTCGATTACTTTAGTTTAGAGTTCTCCTTAAGTTACAAATTAATCCGCTGAAAAACAAAGTAAAAACTTTGAGAAGGTATCTGGTGCCGAAAGAATGCGATCTGGTGGCTGCTGCTGCTCTACCAGTTGCTTTTGGAACCTCTCATATCGCTCTTGTTCATAGAGCTCAGCTGGGTCCTGGCCAGGTTAGTTCTTTCCACTCCCTCTGACTTCCCCTTGTGAATTGCTTGTCTGGAATTGGGAGTTCTGTTACTTGATAGAAGAAATTGGGGATTCTGCTGTTGTGTTTAGGTTCTTCTGGTTCTTGGAGCAGCTGGAGGTGTTGGCCTTTCTGCTGTCCAAATTGGCAAAATTCGTGGAGCTATTGTTATTGCTGTTGCTAGGTACTTTCTTCACAAAACCAATATTTCAGCCTTCACCTTGTACTGGCTGGCAATGATGCATTGGAGCTTAAGGGGGGAATCTTCCTTCTGGTGTTGCAAACTGTCACAGGGGAGAGGAGAAGATTCAGCTTCTGAGGTCGATGGGAGTTGATCATGTCGTGGACTCTACCAAAGAAGGTGTTACTGTGAGTGTCAAGAACTTCCTTAAGTCGAGGAAGCTAAAAGGGGTGGATGTTCTATATGATCCAGTTGGTGGGAAGCTTACGAAAGAGAGCTTGAAGCTTTTGAATTGGGGTGCACAGATTCTGGTTATCGGTTTCGCCAGTGGTGAAATACCCCTCATTCCTGCCAACATTGCTCTTGTCAAGGTACATGCTTAATTTTATCCTTCAAAAAATGATTCCTCGTTCTGAAAATAACTGAACTAAGATATTCAGTGTACAATAAAAGCTCATTAAGAAACAGAAAAGATGGTCAGGCAGAAAACCTAATTAACTGTTCTCTTCTATCTGTCTTACCAAGTGAATGCTGAATGTGTGTACTCTACAGAACTGGACTGTTCATGGACTCTACTGGGGAAGCTACAAAATACATAGGCCACCTGTTCTTGAAGATTCTCTCAAGGAACTACTTAGCTGGATGGCAAGGGGACTCATCACTATCCACATTTCTCATACTTACAGCCTCTCAGAGGTTTGAATTCCGTCAGACGTTTTCATTTGCTTTACTTATCTCCAGTTTTGATGGACAATACTTGTGCTTCAGCTATGGGAAAATGTAGAATTTACTAGACCTTGCAGAAAGTAGAACTGGGAAGGTTAGGTTTGCTGCAATCGATTATCCATGAGTTGGAGAGCTAGGTTTCACAAAAGGTGATAGAAAATTGAAGCTTGTTTCGATCTTAGATGACTCACCAGAGTTGATGGATTCTTTCAGGATATTGTATTGTAAAGCAATTTATGTATGCATTAGATTATCACTATACGTTCCCTTGACATAGATTTATGCCTACTGTGGTGTCTTATAAATTCGAGCTAAATCATTTGATGACATGAGCATAAAGGTGGTGGGGTTAGGATCTGATTCATGCTGTTCCAATATCATCATCATGCATTGTGCTTGTTAATTTTGCGATGGCTGCTTCACTGTTGCCTTAAAATTGGATGTATTCATCTTGATTTTGCATTTCTTTCAACAGGCCGGCCTTGCTTTTGCTGCAATCAAAGAGAGAAAAGCCATTGGGAAGGTGATGATTACCATTGACGATGCAAGCCATTCAAGATCAAAGCTTTGAAACAACATCAACCATGTTCCGAGCGCATCCAGAATCTTGTCAGCAGAATATAATGATCGAAAGGGCAACCAACCGCCAACTTCATGCTCAAAGTTACTTGGAAGAGAAGTTATCAGATGTAATGATGCGAGTTGAATAAAAAATCGAAGTGAATGAATAAACCTTTCTGAACAGCGTAGAGCCGAACAGACACAGACTAGTTTGGAAGGAAGGAAGGAAGGAAAGAAAGAAAGAAAGAAAAAAAAGAGATGGATAAGAAGGAACTACCGGCCTGGGAACTTCTGACTGTTGGTTCTATCTTTGGCAACAATGTATGAACTTGGAGCTGCTTTGTTCCCATCAGTTGCATGAAAAATGCTCATTGTTGTTATCAAGTTGATATGGGTTTTGGTCATGTTTGCTGATAATATTGACCTCAGACTGGTCGTGTTCTCCCCCTGTTGGAGGGTTGACGGTCTGCAACGGACCGAACGGTTGAACCAGTTGATCCTCGACGACCTGTCCGATATGATCTGTGAACTGTGGTATGCTAGCTGGTCTGGGTTCTACTGCAGTCTCTAAGGACAGTCAATGTTCTTACAAAGTTCTTAACCCGCTCTTCAGATTGCGGGGCAGTGACAAGGATGCCAAATGTGACAGTCGTGTTTGAGTCACGTTCATGGTTCAAAAAGTTTCGTTTAACTTTATGTTTAAACATGTTTAGGCGCTAGACAATACCAAAATGTCTTGCATATGGGTTTCGCAATTTTCAGGAATTCAGAAAGCCTAAATGGATTAAGGTAATGCCTAAGTGTCGCCTATGCATATTTAAGTGAATCTAGACCGTCAATATCAAATGTGGTACTTGACATCATCATAAGAACAGTGAGCTATTCAAATATCATTCCATGAATTTGTGACATATATGTTTCGTATTCTTAGGTGTTAACTAAGCTATTAATCATTAGAATTGAACTGCAAATGTGTCGCAAGTCTGCTAATTTATTCATCATTTGGTATAACTTACTATTTTTGTTTTCAAACGTCTAGATACGCTTAAACAACGTCTAAACCCGCTATGCGTTAGACAAGACTTTAATGGCTGCTTTACACCTAGCGACTTCTTGAACATTCTTCACGTTAACATGAAAGGAAGCTATTTCACCTTGTACTTGTTTTTAGCCTTCCTTTTACTTCTTTTTGATTATTTTGATGCAATGACCATACCATTTTTGAGGGAAAGTCGCACATAAATACCATATACGATGCTATTCGTGCATTTGAAAGAGGAAAAAATGACAATTGTTCAAAAGTTCTGATATTCGAACTGATCACTTTACAATTATTGTCTTGTTATCGGTAGCATGATATGGCTGGATCAGTTGCATACCCCTAACAAAAACCCATAACTAAATCTCCACCGCTTAAAGTGAATTTAGATCAAGAAAATCATGAAAATTAAGGTTGCATTTAAGCTTTTTTTTTATGAAGAAAATAGTCTTTAGCAACAATGACAATTACTAATTAGGCTTGTTCTCAATAAATATAAATACCTTTTTATAATTATTTATTTATAGACCTTAAACGACCCCAAGACCCTCCCAACCCCGCCCACCCAAACAGTCCCCAGCAAGCAACACCCGCCATTTTTGATTCATCTCCGTTCTCCTTTCGCCCCCAAAGGAAACCAAAAAAAAACCCATTAACAAGAAACCCCAAAGATCGATTCTTTCTTCTTCTTTACCCCGAGAAATCAACCTCACTCTGCAAAGCTATGGAGCCTCATCCCCCTCAACCGCAGCAGCTCAGCTTCTCAACTCCCTCCTCTCGCATATGCATCATCAGCATTCTCTTAGACCTCCCCGCCAAATCCCTCCTCCGCTTCAAGTGCGTCTCCAAGGCATGGCACCGCCTAATTTCCCACCCCAAATTCCAAGAGACGCACTACGCCCGCAGGGCTTCCGTTCCCCGCTTCTTCTTCCGGTTCTCCGACTTCGATTACGACCAATTCTCTGGCACAGTCCGCCAACGCTTCGCAATCTTGAACTCCGCCGGCGTTCCCCTCGACGTCCTCCGCGTAAACGCCGTCGGCGGGCCGATCAAGCTCGTCCTCCTGAGTTCCCGCGGGTTGCTCTGTTTCGCCACCGAAACCTGCGTCTACCTCTGCAATCCGGCCACCCGTTCCCTCATCCAGCTCCCGCCGCCCCACGGCGTCGACCGTCAAGGAAATCCGTTAACCATTTCCGGGTTCGGGTTCGGGTACATGGAATCGGCCGGGGAGTACAAAGTGGCGAGAGTGGTGCACAGGCCTTGGCTAGGAGACCACTCGCCCTGCAAGTTGGAGTGCTCTGTTTTCACCTACTCTGTTTCCGCCCAACCGCCGGCGGCGGCGGCGGCGGCGACCAACGACTGGAAACTGCTGGCTGACACCTGCCCTTACTTCGTGACCCAGGTCGGCTTGCCGGTTTTCGCCCGTGGGACCGAATCCATCTACTGGAAGATTGTGCAGAACCAGCATTGCCTCTGCCACAGCACAGCTCAGGCTAGGCCGGACGTTTTCTTGGCTTACTTGGACGTCAAGAAAGAGAGGTTTGGAGTTGTACGCTGGCCTCAAGGCTTGAGGAGGCCGAGGCCGAGCGTCGGTGATTGGAGGGAGGCCGGTGAGATTCCTCTGAGAATCATGGAGTCCAAGCTCGCCGGGAGCGTTGGGAAGCTGAGCATGATTGAGACTCCGGAAGACCTCCCGCTCCGCCTGGTGGTGTGGCTGCTGACTGATCAGGAGAACAGCCATTGGGTCAGACAAGCCGTCGTCTCGCTGCCGGTTTTCGGCCACGGAACCATCCTGGGAGAGATCAAGGAATGCAGGAGTGATCTGATCATCTACAGCTCGCCTGAGAACGCGATCATCTTCATCAACCCTGAGAACGGGACGTTTAGGAAGGTGAGCATTCCTGCGAATTTGCGCAGCTTGGATTTCTGTACCTATACTGAGAATCTCTTGACCTTGCAGCTCCCACCAAATCAAGGTGGTAACTAGACTAGAGCCTCTTTTGCCATTAGAATTTGGTTTTAGCAATCAGGCAAGGCATAGTTGCAGATAAGAGTAATGAGATAGGAACCATGTGAATGTCAGTCAGCAGAAAATGTGAAGTCTGCAACTTTGTACACAAAAGTCTGCACAGATCAGAAGAGTTGCGACTCCCACCTTCTAAGGGTTGTAACTAGCTAGTGCCTCTTTTGTTGTTAGACTTTGGTCATAGTAATCAGGCAGCCATAGTTACAGATAGACTAATGACTAATGAGATAGGAACATGTGATGTAAGTCAGCAGAAACTGTGAAGTCTGCAACTTTGTACACAGAACAGAAGTTGCATAGATCAATGAGTTGCCAACAGAATGTTTTTTCCCCTTCTTTTGTTTGCTTGTGTACTGAAAGGAGTCTTTACTTAGTCAGCAAGCATGACAATTTGATGACTTTCCAGCCACTGATTCTGTATTCAGACCAATTTCACTAGACTGGCAGTTTTACTAGAACCGAACATAGTCAAAGAATGCGATCGAATCGGAAGGTTATATACAGTGCTGCACATTTGGAAACTCGTATTTACAGAAATGGGAAACAGACTGCTCGCGCTATTTAGGGCGGCTCTCAGTTTTCAGGAAGCGGACGTATTCCTGCTGCAACATCTCTCCTCCATGAACTGGATCGAATTGACATCTGTGGAAGCTGTGGAAAATAGAACAAAATTTTTGTGAGTGATCGGAGATGATAAGTAAAACCTAATGGAATTAGCTGTGCTGCTGCTTTAAGTTTAGTTAGTATCAACATGGTCCTACAGAAGCAGCCTAAAGTATTGATTTCGAGTATATGACAACTTTCAATGAGCTGCATACAACGTACTAGCAGGTACATCCAAGTTCGTGGTTCTTTAGCACTCGAGGAAAGCATGATGGAGAGAAGTTGGGTTTGGAGTTCACAACATGTGCTGTAAGGCCAAAGTTCACTAACTTATATTCAGGATCTGTGTAATAGCAGTTTTACTTCAACTGCCAATTTGCCACTAATCTAATTTCTCACGTGCCGCACCCTGTAAAAGAGAAGTAAATGGTAACCGGTGTCATACCTTGCATCCATGCCAGCAACAATGACTGTATTCTGAGATCCAAATGCAGCAATGAAATGTGTCTCCTCTGGTAAACGGAACTGGGCAAATGACCACTCAGAGCTGAAATATTTGGGCAACACCCCTGGTGGAAACAAGGCAACACCAACAGATATTAGAACAAAAATTATTATGGCTCATCGTGCATTAACCGTATCTCAATGTTGAACTTCATAAAAACAGAAACAGACAAATAGAGAAGTATACAGGCACCGACATATATATCTCTTCTGGATCAAACTTTCAAAAGGAAACCCTTGATGAGCTTTTATATTTTACATGTACTAGTTTCAAGAACTACAGACCTCCAAGTAACCTAAATGATGAGCACAATTTAATACCAAGGAAATCATTCTAGCTTGTCAACATCAAAATTTGTTGCGATAAATCCAGATCCTAGTTTAACCAGTGTTTATGAAACTGTACCGGAGATAGAACCAGTGAGAGTGACAGTTCAATACTTAATAGTAAAACCGTAAATGAACCACAAGAATGCTGTCATAAACCACAATAACACCCTGAGAAATCATACCGGGTTGAGCTCGGATACACAGTTTATTGGTACAACTGGTCGTTGCATGCATTAGAATCACTAAGCTCAACAAATTATTTCAAGGTCCATTTCTAAAATTCAAAGATTCATTAATTCACCTACCTCTCATAAAAGACAATGATGAACTCGGGTTGGAACTGGTGCTGGGAGAAACCAGAGCAGTAACAGCTGTTGATGAATTCTGATGCAATAATGCTGGGCTTTGAGGAGGATTTGAGTTAGTGGAGGAGTCTTCACCACCCACTCTAACCCTGAGACTGAAAATATGAACAGTGCCTTTGCCACTTGACACAGCCAACCACTGCACATCCTGAGACAGTGTAATGCCATAAATTTCAGCTCGGTCCACTCCTCTTCGCACCTGCAGAAGAGCAAGATCATAAATATTGGAATGATACTTCGGTGAAGACCAAGATCATCAATGACGATGTTTTAAAGAGGAAATCATTGGATGCTAGTTACCCTCAATCCTCAAAATTGATGGCAGCAAGTAAAACGTCATAAGAAAGGCATTCATTATCAGTTTAAGACCATCACTCAACCCTTTTGAAAGCAGCTCAACCCACTTGGTGCCTTAAGAGCACTTTGAACACAGAGTTATGAAAGAGTACTACAGTTCAATATTTACGAATTCAGAGTCCAGAGAGCTAGCTTACCTCTTGCAGCCGAGTGCCATCCATGGTGTTGAAAATTCTGATCAAGGTGCCCTTGGTGCTAGCAGTAGCAAGAAGCAGGCCATCCATGGTAATTGTGAGGCAAGCAATATGATTATCATGAGCATTCACCAACTTCACCAGATTCAATCCAAAATGCTCAATTCGAACCTGGCCGCGGTACAGCCCAGGCAAAGCCAGCACGGAAGTGTTGGGGTGATGGGAGAGGCAGCAGAGCCCTCTAGGGTTCGCCAACGTCTCGATCTGATGAAGCAGCTTCAGATCCGTGAAATTGTAGACATACACCTTGTGCTCGAGCACCACCACAATCCGGTCCCGGCTCATCCTCACGGCGCGGACCTGCGACCTGAAGGAGAACTCGCCGATGCAGCGGCTCTGGTGATCGTCCCAAATGAGGACCCTGTTGGGCGGGTACTGGGAGTTGGCGTCGCTGCCGACGAGGGCCAGGATGTTGCTGCGGAACAGCATCTCGACGATCCTGAACCCGCCGCCTCGGATGTCCCGGCGGAACGTCTCCTTGAAAGGCTCGCAGTTGTAAATCCGGAAGCCGGAGCTGGTTGCGGCGGCGAAGCAGCCGTAGTCCTGGTTCCAGGAGACGGAGAGCAGCTGCGTGGCGGCGCCGTCATCGCCGCCGTCGGCGGGATGAGGCAGGGAGATCCGGGAAGGAGAAGAGGGTGCGACGAGAGCTTCTGCGGAGGAGGAGGAGAGGAACGGCGGAGAAGACGGAAGAGTTGAGGTCATGGTTGTGGATTGGGGGAGAGAGAAAGCTTCAGGTTCAAGCAATCAAGAGGAAGATGGGGAAAGCTAGGGAAGGCGGAAGTCTTCGATGGAGGAGGCGGCGTCCATGGAAGGAGGAGGGAGACGAGAATTATAGGGAAGATTCGTCGCCGGCGCGGTTTGGGGGAGCGGCTGGCAGGCAGCTGTAGAAGAAACAGACGGAGAAAGGAAATTTGGTTTGGAGTTCGCAACACGAAACGGAGGGGGAATTTTACCGCGATTTAATAACTGTGTTTGACCGTGAACTTTTCTAGTTTGGTGAAGTTGGTACCTGGAATTTTATTTCTAGTCAACAACGTACTTGAAATGTTTTATGCATGACTCTCTCCCAATTAAGGTTTGTTGGATTAGCGTATATCAATAGCTAAAGTTAGTTTAGCCATTTGTTAAACTTAAATAACAGCAAATCCTAAATATCTTCTGTACAACAACAATTTTTAAATGATCTCGTATGTAGAAACCGTTAATTTGTAATGGATATTTTAGCATTATGGTATTGACGGTTTTTGAATCTACCATTGACGTTGAGTTAATGTGTTTTCTTATGTAGATAGTTGAACAAGTATAATAATATACGGTCTATGAGATCAAAATTTATTTTCACTTATTTTTTCCAATTTGGATTAGGATGTAATTGTATCCAGACTTAGTCCAAGTATTAATGTATGAATCACAGGTAAATCTAAAAATATGATGTGGCATATTACGCGATAAAATTAACTCCAATTATTGTTATGTCACTAAATCTTAGTTAGCATGAGTGCATGATCGTTAAATTGGAAATCTATGTACTAAAATGATGGAAAACAAAATTTTACATACTAATTCCACGGAAAAATAAAGTTGATGTGTCTGACTATTCGAACTAAAAAAATTCAATGGTGATATTCAGGTTGAATGACATAAATATTGTCTTTTTTTAAAAAAAAATTTACTATCAATATGGCGGTTTAAAAACTATTGATATGTATATTGTGTTTTTTTTAGTGTAATAGGGGCCCGCCCGAGACTCAGGCGCTGGCGCATTTTGAAAATTTTTCAACGAGTTAAAGGCGCTAGCGCCTGAGATTGAGGCAGCCTCGCTAAGGGTGTTCAAATGGTTACCATGGTTATAAGTTATAACCAAATCAAATAAGACTAAATTCCATTAATCATATAATACAATATCATAACCAAACCGTCCAAACTAATACAATAACCAAATTAACCAAACTAAAGTTTAATCGGTTTGGTTAATTGGTTAACCAGATTAACCAATATAAAATCACATTATCATTAACGATGAAAATTTTCCGGTTAATGCAACAATTCGCAATTTATATAATGAATAAAACATAACAATCAACACGTAGTTATAGTTGACCCTTAACAAAAATACATGCAACTAAGACAATTATCTTACGATTAGTATAGAAGTATTCACCTAACAAAAATTTATGACAATGGTATGGGTTAATGAATTGTTGTGTTTGTGTAAATTGACTTAGTCTCTTAGCAATTATCATAGGCTGGAAATGACCTTTCTTTCAAGTTTTCATCCATCATAATGTATGAAATTTATCTAAATTAGGCGTCCATATGTTGTGGTCTACATTTTACATATACAAATATACACTATATGAGCAATATTGAGCTTTATATTTTATGAGTCTAAAAGGGATGAACGTTAACTCTTGAGTGGTTATGCAAAGTATTAAGTATGTGTATATAATATATGTTAGATATATGAGTAATTATTTAACTGGTTAATTTGGTTTGACTGGTTATGAGTGTCTGAAACCAAACCAAACCACATAAACCAAACAAGCTAAAAACTTTAACCAAACCAATTATCCAAATTAACCAAACCAAATTATCCAAATAGTACCGGTTAAAACGGTTACCATGGTAACCAAACCGTTTGAACACCCCTAGGCCTCGCATCCCACTTTTCTTATCTTCTTCTCCACTACTCACCTACAGCAGCAGCAGCAACGAGCTTCGTCCCCCAACCCCACGCCCAGTCTGAGACGGTAGCGCCAACGAAACAGACAGCCCCGCCTCAGACTAAGGCGACCTTGCCTGCTTCCCGACGAAGGCGTCTTGTCCAGATCTGGTTTTTGGTGAAGATGTCCGATGACGAGGAGCAAATCGCCGGCAGAGGAAGGGGCAGAGTGCGGCGAGGTCGTGGCGGCGACGACCGCTACCGAGGTGAGTATTTCGTCGATGGTGGCCGGATTCTCGCCGGCGGCGAGTTTTTTTTTTTTAATTTGAGTTTTATAATGTTCTGATTAAATTTTTTTTCCAGTTCCTAGGCTTATGGACAGTTATTCTATGAGACCACCACCTGCGATAATTGATACAGCTTCGGTAGATCCGGTACTTCTTTGGGGGCATGGTCACCATCGTATTGACTCAGTTTGGGCAAACGAGGTAAGTTTTCAAACTATTTCTATAGTTTTTTTATTAGCTGAACTGAAATTAGAATAGAATAGAATAGAATAGAATAGAATAGAATAGAATTACGAATGAAATATATGTTAAAATTAGAATAAGTTTAGATTAGATATATAAATATAAATATTAGGTGAACTGATTTAGAAGTATCGCATGTAATTGAATTAATATAAGTTTTGTGCACTATAGGTTGGAGATCGACCTTACCACATTCGAGGTACGAGCCATTTAGTCAGATACCATCCATTTTATCAGCTGTATCTTGTCATTGTGGGCTTGTTTACGGTTCTGCAATTGGTCCCTCTTACCGGTGATCCGGGTTTGATTACTACGCTCGTAGAGCGTTGGCGACCCGAGACATCGACCTTCCACATGTCGTTCGGTGAGGTGACGATCACTTTAGAGGAGTTGCGACACTGACCAGTCTAGCGATCGACGGTGATGTCGTCGTAGTAGACATACCAGACGAGGGTTGGTCGGTTATGCGTCTTCGACTATTAGGACGGGCTCCTACTGATCTTGACGGCGGCATCATTAGGATTGCTTGGTTCAGTGAAACTTTCGATCAGCTACCGCCATTGGCATCACCAGAGACTACAGGGCAGTTTGCATAAGCTTATGCTCTGTCTCTGATGGGAGGTGTTTTGTTCCCCCGATCGGTCTGGAGGTTCAGTTCATCTGTAGTACCTACTCTTGGCGGAGGATTGGCACAGAGCGGGGAGGTTTGTCTGGGGAGCAGCTGTTTTATCCTACATGTACTGTGAAATGGGTAGGTCGGCGCTGCAGATGACGCAGTCCTCTTCACTAGGTGGTGACCTTGGTGGATGGTCCGCCTTACTGATGCTCTGGGCGTGGGAGCGATTTCCTCATACAACACCACTACATATAGAGACGGGGGCGCAGATTACCGAGGACGCAGTCTATAGTGCACAAAACTTATATTAATTCAATTACATGCGTACTTCTAAATTCAGTTCACCTAACATTTATATTATATATCTAATCTAAACTTATTCTAATTTTAACATATATTTCATTAGTAATTCTTTCTATTCTAATTTTAGTTCAACTAATAAAAAAAACTATAGAAATAGTTTGAAAACTTACCTCGTTTGCCCAAACTAAGTCAATATGATGGTGACCATGCCCCCAAAGAAGTACCGGGTCCACTAAAGTTGTATCAATTGTCGCAGGGGGTGGTCTCATGGAATAACTCTCCATAAGTCTAGGAACTGAAAAAGAAAAAACAATTAATCAGAACATTAAAAAAACTCAAATTAAAAAAAACTCGTCGCCGGCGAGAATCCGGCCACCATCGACGAAATACTCACCTCGGCCACGACCTCGACCTCGCCGCCCTCTGCCCCTTCCTCTGCCGACGCCGGCAATTTGGTCCTCGTCGTCGGATATCTTCACCAAAAATCTGATCTGGACAAGGTGCCTTCGTCGGGAAGCAGGCGAGACCGCCTCAGTCTGAGGCGGGGCTGTCTGTTTCGTTGGTGCTACCGTCTCAGACTGGGCGTGGGGTTGGGGGATGAAGCTCGCTGTTGCTGCTGGGTGTGTTATTTCTTTTGCTCGGGCGAGAGGTGAGTGGTGAAGAAGAAGATAAGAAAAGTGGGATGTGAGGACGCTTCAGTCTCAAGTGCTAGCGCCTTTAACTAGTTGAAAAATTTTCAAAATGCGCCAGCATCTGATTCTCGGGCGGGCCCACTATTACTCTAAAAAAAACACAATATGCATGTCAATAGTTTTTAAACGATCATATTAGTGGTAAAGTTTTTTAAAAAAGAAATTCACTTCTTGCCGAAAGAAAAGAAACTAAGAAAGCAAAAAAGCGATCTGGGAAAGGCCCAACTGAAACCCCAGAAACGATTAGACAATCGCAGCACATAATGACCCGAAGCTAAAGCCTAAGGCCCATAAATGATTAGGCACTCAATTACAACACAAGTTAATCCACTACTAAAGCCCAAACCCATCTGACACGCAAACTTAAAGTAAGCATCTGAAAGAGTAAACCTTTTTGCATCATCTCTATCAACCCACGACAAGAGATCAGAGAGACAGTAGAACAATGACCAAAACCAAAGAACGTAACAACATCAGAAACAAGACATGAACTTCACTTCAAGGCCAAGAAACAAGGAGAGAACTATGGCCGGGTCGACGATGGATCGACGAAGACGTAGCACTAAATTAATTACTCACTCATAATCCTTTGCTTCTAAGTGGGTGATAAGAACTTCTAGCTCGAGTAGATCACGATGAACTGCTGCATCATACAAAAGAAGGAATATTTGGTAGGTGTTATATTGATATATAATCTTTTTAATTAGTTTTCACTGTACTTGCTACATAGAATCTAGTCAATTAGGGCAACTCCAAAAGGATGAAGTCGCAGCCACACATGGACCACATACACTACTAGTATTATTAAGGCCTAATACACTTGTATAGCCAAAACTTTGACGGTTTTGCCAAATATAGCCACTTGGAAGAGAAAAGAGGGCATGGCATGCATGTAAACCCTAATAGTGGAAGGAAGGAAGGAGGCAGGTAGATAGTGGCATATAATTGGGTGAAAATGCACATTTCCAAATGAAAGAAAAAAAGCATTGAGAAGAGGAAAAGGATCCCCACACCCACTTGTACTTTCACCAGCTTCCACCTCGTCTGCTGCAAAATTGGAACTACTACTTGTGAGTTGTGTGCCTCTCGGAAAAGGAAGAAACCTAATTAAAGAGAAGTACTGTGGTATATATAGAGCTATATGCATATAGGGTTTGTGTACTTGCCCCTGGAAGAAATTAATGAAGCATTATGTCATCAGCACAGCAGCAGCAGTTCTGCATGTATACCTGCAGCAATAGAACATGACCAAGTTTTGAATTGCAGTCTACTAGGAAGAAGGACATGATTCCAAGGATGATCAGCTACCAAATTTGAACTACTCCTTTCCCTAATGAGGGCTAGGCCTATTTGATAGCTAGCTAGTGCATGCATAAAAGCAAATGGGTTGCAAATCAAACACATAGTGCCTGTGTTTCTATCTAGTGATGGATGTGTAGTAGAAACATATACACATATCGAACAAGGGATTGGTCTAGTAGTAATACTATTAGCCTTGAACCTGAAGGACCCAGGTTCGAATCCCTTTAGTAGTACCTAATTACAAAAAATAACCTATATCACCCATATCTAAAAAAACATACACACATACATACATTCATAGAATAAGAAGTGCTTCTGAACATACATTATGAAATGGAAGGATGCATATCAGCAGAATTGTATCTTCTTGAAATCACATACTGCCATGGTTGAACTGAGTGGAGAGTTTCCTGAATCATCATAAAAGGCAGCAAAAGAGAAGAAGAGATGATAAAGTTGGGAGGGTTTGGGAGAGGATGGAGGAGAAGGAGCTCCCTTCAGTCCAAGCACAGAAGGAGAGGGATAGCAGAATTATCTCCCGCTTCATTCACACACTCACTTTAGTTTCCCCACAGTAGTACGCAATCTGCCATTTTTCCCCCCTACTACTGGTGAATGAGTGAATGAGTCGGCAGCTACTTCCACCCCCTTTCTTTCTTTCTTATTCCTCCATCCATCATATTAACCTTCCATGTATGGACTAAAGGAAAGCTCTTTCTCTCTCCCCGATCGACCAGATATGAGATAAGACACCAACTTATCAGTAATTTCGAGGAATATATAAGATCATCACTGTATGAAGATTTATTTAATAAGGAGTAGGGTTGTGGGTAACTTTGGAAACCAGAAATTAACTCACTACCACCATTCTCATCATAATTATTTATGCCTGCAGATCGATCAACTAATTAAAACCCAGAAGCATATATATTATCTAAAGGGAGTCTGCAAAATCTTATCAAGGATGTGAGTAATAATGGCCAGAAATATTCAAGGGAAGAAAAGTTTTTAGAAAAAAGATCAGAGGGCATAACCCACCACCATATTTATGATGATATGGTTACCATATTAAAAAGACAAAAAACTTACCACACAAATGTATAGCTAATTAACTACTGTGGGGAAAGAGCAAATACAAAAGGGAAATGATATCATGGGTTGTCATTAATTTCTCTGCAGTTCATCAGTCAAGGCAGTAAAAAGCTCAGAAGAAAAACACACAAGGAAACGGATCTACATGATGAATAGAATGAGATCTCGTTTTCAGGACTGCGTGGAACAACATATTCAACAAACAGATCGATGAGATGACTGTTAGTTAACTGCAATCTAACAGCGCAAGAGAAAAAGAGACCAAACCAACTGAATTAGCTAACTGATCATGATTCATGATGATCATACATTTGATCCATGAGATGGCTTACAAGAAGATATATATCTCTGCACATATAGTCTCTCTCTCTCTCTCTCTCTCTCTCTCTCTCTCTCTCTCTCTCTTAAGAAGGTGTTTGGTGGCCTCTTAGTTGGTCTTTTTGACTACATATCTCCTCCTTTCATATTGGTTTTATACTGAGAAAAAACCCTTCTTTTCCGGAAGAAACAAGCATATGATAATTGATATTTTCCACCAAAAATTATCAATAAGGGGAGTGGGTACATGTGATCAATATAGCTCTAATAAGTAATGACTAATAACTAGCTATCCCAAACTAATGAGATACTATGGTACAAGATACATGTATATTGTCTAAGTTCCAATTATGACCAAACTACAATATATTTTTAAGTAATGTGAGAGTCAAAGGACAACGATCTTATCTCTAAGCAAGGTGAGAGAGATTGTTGAACAAGTCTACAGCTATCTATCATGCCGTGGAACCTAGAGATGATGTATTAGCAAGACCAAGTTGGTAGCTAGCTAGTCTAAGGGCTAATTATGTCAATGCATGTGACACTTTACATATTTGAAACATAACAACTATTGCGAAGTTTCTGCAATTGAAATGCAAAACCAAATACGAATATGCCACTTTCGTTCTCTTCAATTGGGTGAGAGAGATTTTCCCGTTGCATTTCTATCCGAACCCGAGCGAGAGACATGTGTAACGATGTAAAACCAAATACGAACAAAGAAGACGGTTCCAACATTGGAAAACAAAAGGATAAAATTGCATATTTGGAACAGTGAAGTTACAAATTAGCGGACGACAATTTACATATTTGGAGCAGAACAGCTATTACGAGGTTTATGCATACGAGGTTTATGCATTTGAAATGCAAAATCAAATACGAACAATATGCCACTTTCGTCCTCTTGAATTGGGTGAGAGATTCCCCCATTGCATTTCTATCTGAACCCGAGCGAGAGACATGTATAACGATACAAAATCAAATACGAACAAAGAAGACAATTCCAACATTGGAAAACAAAAGGATAAAATTAAAAAAAATTGACCACTTAGAGGCTCCCATATGTTACCAAAACAAATGAAACAAAAAAGATAAATGAAACAAGATATTTGGCATCTTTGAAATAAAAGGGAGATAAAATTGATGCAAAATATTTGGCATGTTGAAGGAATGTCACTAAAATTGCCACTAAAATTGACGTTATTTACTCATATTTTTATATAAGAATGTTGCCTTTGATGCTATTCTTGAATTTAACCTAACTAGTTAAGCAATATATAACAATCAAATTGATACTAAACTACGATTTTCTTCCATTGGCATGATTCCAAACCACCGACTCGCTTCTTGCCAAAACCATGGTAGGGTTGGTGAACAGTGCGTACGACTTCTGGTTCCCCCAAGCGGCGGCCAGGCAAGGCAAGAGCATCCGAGTGGTGGAGAAGCAGCGACATACCACTTTCCTCCAAACATCTTTGACCCACATAGTATACAGTCTGCAATCTGCATCCCACATCATTTATTTCATGTTACCGAATCTTGGCCTCACTACCCAAAAATGTCCAAAACAACATTATTAACTCAACGCATTCCCCCTGCTGCAAATGGAGGAAAATGGCTTGAATAGCCTGCTGAAAAAACCACAGATACATTTGGTAAGGATTAAGGAGAGCTTGTTGTTCTGGGGATCTCCTGTATATTTCGGATTAATAGAGTAGCTGCCACTGAAACATACAGACATGTACTTAAAACATCGTTGCAGGCGACGTGACCGGAGTCTCGTTAACCACGAAAATACATGCTACAAGTACAAGAAGAGGAGGTGTCTTTATGTATGTTTTGATTTACCCCTTTCTCGCCTATTGGATCGAGGCAACACAACGAACGGCGCAATTTTAGCCTCTCCAGCTATCCTTCATCTGCCTGATCTTCCCAAGAGCTTCAACAGGGGACTTGCACCCGACTTTTGACTGAAAACCCAAAGAGAAAATACCCAAGAGTCACACAACATTGACAAAGGTAAAAGATATACACTTTGCGAAATGGGGAGGGAATAGCATATGACAAAGGTAGTTTAAGTAAACAAACTGCAATTAAATTAGTTTGCGACATTCGCCAGTGATTTTGTGTTGCGGATCTATCCGAAAGACAAAAGGTTGATTCAAACAGGACCTGGATTTCAGGAAGATCAGCGCGAACAAATGGGTTCGTCTCCAGCTCTTGCTCAATGGTTGAAGGGATGGTAGGAAGTCCTGCCTGCCTTTGCTGCTGTGCCCAAGATAACTTTTGCTTTATCTTTGCATTATCGGGCTCAACCGTTTGTGCAAACTGTAGATTCTTCACTGTGTACTGCAAAAATGGTTTTGTCACATTAGCCGACTCAGAAAACCAGTACCATTCAGAAAAGAGACAAGTTACTTTATTGAATGGCAACTTGAAGACATTATACAAGAGGTTCGTACTTGCATGAGCTTTGTAAAGGTTTCGTTTTAAGAACATACGTGAAACTATTTTGACCACCCTTTAACAACATACAAGGGAGGAAAATCTGAAAAGGATCACCAACTGAACTAAGGGAGTGGATGATGGTGCGTTCATGCCAGCTGGGAGGACTAATGAGAAATCATGCTTTCTTTGGCTGTCTATATGATAAGGATGTCTCAATCGCATGTTTACTTTACCGTTGGTGCGGCTGCTAGAGAGGTTTTGAATCGGTTATAATCAACGAAGCGAGAGCTTCTTCCATTATAGTTGGTGATGGTGGGTGCTCTGCTATAATAGAGATGCAGGAAAACTAAATCGAGTTGGTCACCTTCATAATCTCTCAAAGCATGTAACAAGAAATGAGCAATTTATTGATGTGACAGCAATTAACATTAGAGGCCCAAGGACGAAAGTAGGACCTCGACCAGCTATTTCGCCAAAGGGTAAGAAGGGAACTCCAGAGAGCACTCTTTGAGTGGTGCCAGCCAATTGTTTTACTTCTTTCTTCCTTATACGTAGGTGGGTGGGTGACGTTTGAGAGGGAAGAATTAGCACTCGTGTAAACAAACTCACAGAACTAAGTACCTATGTGAAAGGCATATACTAATATCTGGGCCCTGACTTTGCATAATAAAATAAGGAATTGGAGTGAAGAACGATTCCCCTCACTGAAACCAGCCTAGGCATCCCTACCTCCCAGCAAGCATTGCCATCATTCATCAACTTCACTTATCAATAAAACTTGATAAAACTCACAGGTTTCATTGAGAGGCTTAGCCCTCTAGAGCCAATAAAATGTTCTCTGATTCTAAAACATGCTCCAGACTATAACCGCAAGGAACTACCAAAGAGCTGAACATCAAGTTTGGGTTGAGGGGTAGAGTGAAAAAAAAAAAGAGAGAAATATTTACCTCATGGCCACAGTACACTTGAGTAGGCTTTGGCAATGAAGCCAATGTTACACAGAGTGAATCGTGCATCTGCTCAGCTGTTCCCTCAAAAAACTTACCACAGCCAGCAATAAACTGCATATGAAACAGGCCATATGAAGTGAGCTAGTCATAGTAGTATTATGAAATGATTTTTCTGATGAGAAGAGGAAGGCCAGTTACACTCGCCATAATGCAATTGATTTTGTGTTTCAAGGAAAGCATATTAATGTTTTTTTTTTTTGAACAAAGGAAAGCATATTAATGGATGGTACTAGCAACATTCAACAAAGATGACATCAAATAGACACCTGTGCGACTTTTTTCAGTTGACAATGTTGTGGTTCAAATAACAAGGTCCTTCCCCAAACTCACCAAGGTGTCCCCTGTGAAAACAGCTGAGTCCTCTCCCTCCTTGCCAGTGATATAGTAACTTATGTGGCCTTTAGTGTGGCTGAAAATACAAGTAAACAGAAACAATTAGAGTAGTTGAATTTAGTACAACAGGCAACAGCCATGAGAAACACAAGAGGATAGCTGGTCCAGTGAGAAATGATGAAACTGGACAGGAAGGGACACATTGATCCCACAATAAGATACAACACAATATTCAAATACAATATGAAGCACGAATCTGGTGAATTTCAGCAAAACCTGCGACCAGTTGATCGAAGCTTCCAACAGCAGAGCTTGTTGGAAAGGCAAGTGACAATGCATAACATCTAATTCAGCAAGTAAACCATGGTATGGCAAAGTAATTCCAACACACCAGAACTACGTTTTCATTTGCATAACTATCAAACTCGTAACAAGCACACACAACCAAAGTGAATTGGGAATAGTTACTAGCTAAGAAACTCGTACCAAGGGGTATGAAGAGTCAGTATATTAACATCGGCACCAAGGGATATCTTGTCACCATGATCAACTTTGTCAGTGCAAGCCTGCACCTTGTCAAGTGAACCTCCATAGACTTTGATCCCAGGGATCATCTCCCTCATCTTTGCATTCCCCCCTGCATGATCCCTACCACACACAAAAAAAAACCCAGAGTCACCCTCTTCCTTCACATTTTCACATTAACATTTACCCAATCAGATTTTGGACAACTGATACAGAACCAGTGATGATGCGTGGTGAGAACAAGCTTGATCTGAACCCCATGCTCACCGGCAGCCTCCACGAGCTTCTCAGGCTCCACGGGATCCACAACTGCAGCTTCTCTCGTGGCTTCGTCGATGATCCTGATTTCATTTTTTTCATATTTCAACAGTCAGGAGCACGAACAGCAGTAGGGGATTCGAAGAAGCACTACAAACCCTAACCCCAACTGTTGATCTAATTAAAAAGATCGCGGCAATGGAGTTCCCATTGCAACTCACATGTAGGCGTGGTTGTCTTCCAAGCAAGGATAGTGGAAGATCTTCATCCTCGCCCGCCGTCAAAGGACACTCAGTGACTAATTGGTCTCTTCTTTCAGCTCCTGACTAATTGATCTTCATCCTCGAGCAGTGGATGCGCAGCGCAGCTGAAGAAAACGACAAACCGACTAGATGGACAGATGGCGTGTGCAGCTGTCGCCGGGTCAGCTTGGTAGCCACGTAGGAAAATAAATAAAAAAATATTGAAGTCTGTCAGAAAGCCAGAGTCACCCTCTTCCTTCACATTTTCACATTAACATTTACCCAATCAGATTTCGGACAACTGATACAGAACCAGTGATGATGCGTGGTGAGAACAAGCTTGATCTGAACCCCATGCTCACCGGCAGCCTCCACGAGCTTCTCAGGCTCCACGGGATCCACAACTGCAGCTTCTCTCGTGGCTTCGTCGATGATCCTGATTTCATTTTTTTCATATTTCAACAGTCAGGAGCACGAACAGCAGTAGGGGATTCGAAGAAGCACTACAAACCCTAACCCCAACTGTTGATCTAATTAAAAAGATCGCGGCAATGGAGTTCCCATTGCAACTCACATGTAGGCGTGGTTGTCTTCCAAGCAAGGATAGTGGAAGATCTTCATCCTAGCCCGCCGTCAAAGGACACTCAGTGACTAATTGGTCTCTTCTTTCAGCTCCTGACTAATTGATCTTCATCCTCGAGCAGTGGATGCGCAGCGCAGCTGAAGAAAACGACAAACCGACTAGATGGACAGATGGCGTGTGCAGCTGTCGCCGGGTCAGCGCCACGTAGGAAAATAAATAAAAAAATATTGAAGTCTGTCAGAAAGCCAGAGTCACCCTCTTCCTTCACATTTTCACATTAACATTTACCCAATCAGATTTCGGACAACTGATACAGAACCAGTGATGATGCGTGGTGAGAACAAGCTTGATCTGAACCCCATGCTCACCGGCAGCCTCCACGAGCTTCTCAGGCTCCACGGGATCCACAACTGCAGCTTCTCTCGTGGCTTCGTCGATGATCCTGATTTCATTTTTTTCATATTTCAACAGTCAGGAGCACGAACAACAGTAGGGGATTCGAAGAAGCACTACAAACCCTAACCCCAACTGTTGATCTAATTAAAAAGATCGCGGCAATGGAGTTCCCATTGCAACTCACATGTAGGCGTGGTTGTCTTCCAAGCAAGGATAGTGGAAGATCTTCATCCTCGCCCGCCGTCAAAGGACACTCAGTGACTAATTGGTCTCTTCTTTCAGCTCCTGACTAATTGATCTTCATCCTCGAGCAGTGGATGCGCAGCGCAGCTGAAGAAAACGACAAAACGACTAGATGGACAGATGGCGTGTGCAGCTGTCGCCGGGTCAGCGCCACGTAGGAAAATAAATAAAAAAATATTGAAGTCTGTCAGAAAGCCACATGACCATCTCAAGCCATCTGAACGGCTGAGAACGATCCTCTACAGATCGGACGGTCAACAAGACCATCATCACCGTTAATCACGCTCTGATCATGCGGCCACAATTCATCCACCAGACTTGGGATCCTGTCTCCTTAGTGCTAAAGGACACAGAGGTACGAGCCTATAGAACAGATCCTGTTCAAGTAAGGTCGTGCCCAGAGAGACTGTATAGTGAAGCTATAAACACTTCCTTCTCGCTTCTTGTTGTCGATGTGGTATATTTGGTTCTGCATTTCGTAAGTTTTGGGCCGGGCCATTTACGTCCATATGGGTGGTTAAAAGTCGTTGGGCCCGGCCTAGCACTATACTGGGCTTTTCAAACGACGCCTCTTTTCGCCGTTTCTCTGCTGATTGCCCATTTATTAGTTTCACAGCTCCTGGTTCTTCTTTCGTTTTCCCCTCGGCAGAGACGAACGCCGGGGAAGTTTCAGAGCTACGTCTCTAGATCAAGAAGATGGATGACAATATGAAGGCTTTTCAAGAAAGATTGACGGCTCTTGAAACTGAAGGAGAGCAGTTACTTCTAGCTCGGCATCAGGTAAGTATTCAATCAGGATTCGTTGGAACATCTTTCTTTGTATATGTTTTCTTGCTGCAGAAATGTTTCACTTGTATGATTTTATCTACCTGCAAAAACAATGTGGTGAACTGTAGGTGGTTGAAAATGACAGACTAAGGAATGGAACAAGGGAGGCACTTACGGCGATAAGGAAGAGGGCTCGAACGACGAAAACAAGTCTGCCATCGCCTTTCGAGTCCATAATGAAGGACATAGCGACAGGGCTGATGGTGAAGGAGGTCTGTACGACGTGTGGCGATCATGACTCGGAGGAGAGGACATGGATGACGTTCCCAGGAGCTGATGTTTTTGTAAGGGTTCCGTTTCATGCTGCTCACACCATTCTGGAGACGGGTCAGTGATCTTTTTTGATGATTGCAGGGACTTGTTTTGGAGTTGCTGAGAAGAAGATTAGGTGCTGAATTGCTGATGAGTTCATCTTTGTCTGAATTTCGTTGTGATGCGCAGATCAGGAAAGACTCGACTACGAGGCCAAGAAGTTGCAGAGTTATGTGAAAGAGAAGTCGCTTTTGATTTCAGAGCAAGGTGCTCTGTCTGATAAGATAGGCCCCAATGTCCTTAGATCTTGTTACCTTAACAGACAAATCCAAGTGAGCTGGTTTTTCTTATGTTTTGGATCCTGTCAGAATCCAGTTTATTGTACTTACAGTTGGCTGGTTTCTTTGAATGGAATGTGCTCATCATTGACTTGAATAGGCTCTGCATAGTGTCTATTGGCATCCACACAAAGTAATCTTTCTTCCCAATTCCCATTACAACTTCAGGTGAATCACTTCAAGCTCGGAAAGCACGACTCGTGTAACTTCGCATGAAATGGATGTACATGACTCTCCTAAGTCCTAACAACAACATCCATGACAACTGACAAGTTCTTCCAAGGACAAGGAAAAAAGTTCAGGCATATTACCACATAAATCTTACTACAGTTTTAAAACAATCACCACCATCAACCACTAATGTTGATTCGGACTAGGCCTACAATGCATACATAGGTTCTATCTCCCACTGGCATTCTCATCTATAGCCTCCTTCTCTCTCCAGATCGCATCAACATCATCAGTCCGGAACCTCTGGGTGAACGTGGATTCCTCTATCGGAGTCGTTCCCCCATGCGCAAAGGCAAGTAGACCAGTATAAGCAATCATAGCACCGTTATCGATGCAATACCTATCATCAGTTGCATACAGCGTCCCTCCCCGTTCACAGCACATCGTTCTCATCATCTCTTGCAACCGCTCGTTACAACCCACACCACCAACAATAAGAACGTCTTTCTTGTCGCAATGAGCCATTGCACGTTCTGTGATCTCCACTAGCATGGCAAACACCGTCTCCTGCATCAATAACAACAGCATGTGAAGCCACAGAAGCACACACAACAAACTCACGATATGCCTAACTGTTTTACCTGCAAAGAGTAGCACAAATCGGCTGGAGTGCATTCGTTGTTTTTAAGCTTCTCCTCGGTGGTAGATTCAATGTAGCTTAATATCCCACTAAAGGAAACATCCATTCCTTTGACAGCATAGGGAAGGTCTATAAATTTCTCTCCTTTCTTGGCGAGCTGGGGAATGGAAAGATCAAACAATGTGTTCAAAAGTAACAATTCGCAGCATTCAGTCAATCAACGATAAAGTACAAAACAGAGAGCACCAAGGACAAGGAGTTACCTGCTCAATGTTATATCCAGGGGCAGGATCATTGGAGAGGTGCAAAACCCTAGCAAATCGATCCAAACAGTTCCCCACAGCAATATCAATCGTCTCCCCAAAAATCCGATACTTCCCTTCGCTGTATGCAATCACCTGTGTGTTCCCACCACTAACATAGAGCACAACTGGGTCGTGCGCCCCGGTCACAACTCGACCCATCTCGATGTGGGCGACACAGTGGTTAACCGCGACAATTGGTTTCTTCCAGAGCAGGGATAGAACCCGAACAACCACAGCCGGGACCTGCAGAGGGGCGCCCATTCCAGGACCCTTGGTATAGCAGAGACAGTCGATCTCGTCAGGGGTAACTTGGGCGGCCTCCAATGCGGATTGAACAAGGGGAATCACGTGCTGGAGGTGGTGGTGCGCAGTTTCTCGAGGGAGGAAGCCATGTCCAGGAGGAGTGATGTAGGTGCGGCGAGGGTTCGAGAGGATCGTGCCATCTAGAGCGACGACCCCGACTCCAATCTTGTTAGCGGAACCCTCAAACCCTAGAGCTAACAGCTTCTTCATTCGCTTGCTTCTTTTACTGGAAAAATGCCTGGATTACAAATTTCACAAACCACAAGTTCACCACTACCACAAGCATGCATCTTACTGTTAAACTAGAATCACGCATCTAAATGTTCAATAGATTGCTAGAGAAACCAAATCAAGTAAACAACATTTAAAGATACAAATTGTTTTGCTTGATTATTTTCTGGAACTAGTGACAGTGTTCGAATCGTTTAATCAAGCAAAACAATGTTAGTACCCAATTCAAACATTGTTAAAAATTAAACCTTTCGCAGTCCCCCTTTCTCTATCCAGGAAATGAAGTTATTAATCATATCCCTAAACCCACCTTCACAGGAATTGAGCACAGGAGGAAGTGAAATTAGTACCTGACGAAGAAGAAGAAAGAGAGACCGGCTGCGGGAAGAGGAGGCAGGTTCGATTCCTCCGCGGCCGAGAGAGAAACCCTGGGGTACCGAGCACACTGCTGCTGCTCAAGGAAAAGGTAGGATTATCGTACGGCGGAGGGGCGGCTGCGACGGGAGGAGGATCTCCTTCTCGCTTCTCTTTCGCTGGCGGGCGGCGGCGGGAGCAGGGAAGTGCTGAAGCCAATTTTCTTCTTTTTGATTGGGGAACCAGTGGATTGGAATTAAATTTTAGTTTTCCTTTTTTTCGGTGCAAATTATTTTCTGTTTTTTTTCCTGGTTTCTCTGACAAACGACGTCGTTCGGTGGGGTTTCGGTTTCTTCCCCCGCGGCAAATTAGACCGGGCGGAGGTCCGGAGTCTCAGACCGGGGCGAAGAGGACAGGAACAAACAAATAGCCGCGGCGGTGAAGAAGAGAGGACTGCAGATCCGAGCCGGCTGTTTGCATTTTGATAGTTCTTAAGAGCAGCTGCCTTCTCCGTCCTCTGTCGTCCCTCGCCGGGCCTCCGGACGGGATCTCGCCGTCCTTGATCGGAATTCCCGAAGCGTAAAAAGTCCCCACTTCCACAATTTCTCCGATTCCGATCTTGATTCCGTTGTTGCGCTATCCCGTTTGATTCATCCTTGATGCTCTTCGAGTTTGTGTGATTTGTGAATCTAAAACCCAATGTCAAAACCCTCGCCTAACAGAATCGTCCAAGGTCTTCTCCGGCTCCACCACTCTCGCTCCTCCGCCACCGCCTGCTCACCTCGGGTTCCACTTCCGGCAGGCTCGCTTTCCCGACCACACTCCAGTCCTTCGCAATTCTCTACTTCCACTTCATATCCTCCTCCCCTCAAGTTCTCTCCATTCGCTTCGCAACCCGCGTCCTCAACGCTGCCAAAGCTCCCGAATCCTTCGACTTCTTTCCTTGCCAGGACTTACTGCTATGGGTTGCGTCACTACTCATTCAAGGCTCCGTCCAGTGTGGGGAAAAGGGTCGGCGGCGGAGAGTTCGCGAAACGGGCTTTTGAGAAGCCGGCAGAGGCTGTTACCTCTGTTCTGTCCAAGTACCGTCGAGCCTTAGGTCTGCACTTGGATGCTTTCTGGAAAAGGAATTCTCTCTTCCTGTTTGGGGTTGGAGCAGTCGTGTTGTGTGCTTTGCTATGGAGGATTATGTTTGGGGTTGCCAGCACTTTTGTTCATCTCTCTGAAGGCATGGCCAAGTATGGCTTCCTCGCCCTTTCCACTGCCATCGTTGCCTTTGCTGTGAGTCGTGCCTCCATTCTCCCATTATCTAATTTGAGTTTTCCAGCTATTTGAGTTCTGCTACGAGATTGTTGCAGCAAGCTACTTGTGATAAGTTTAATTATAGGTGATCTGTGTATATGTGGCCGAGTTGTTTAGTTTATGTGTGCTATGCTCTTTGTATTAAGTGTGTAGGGGAAAAGCAACTGCTCTTCTTGCTGTTCGTAGCAGTGAATATGTATTCATTTTACAGAGTATACTATTCAGAATTCATCGTGTAAAGTCCTGGTTACATCTTGTCATGGTCACATGCGATTGGAACTCAACTTGTAAGAACTGACAAATGATTTCAGACTGGGATATTAAATAGAGTTCGAATCCGGAATTTTGTTAGTTTAGAGAACAGGCTGTAGGTTTGAGATACAACTTCTCCTATCAATTTTTTGAACGAGTTGTGGAAGTTGTTATCTGCCCATTAGAAATGTTGTGTGCATGTTTGAGTGGCTGACATTTCATGGTACCACCAATCTATGCAACACAGATGATGCACTTTGCTTCAGCTGAAACCCGTTTCCACAGCCTAGCACATTTCAGATAGCCAAATTTATGTCTCGCCATATAGTTCTTTATTCAAACTATCACTCTCCTACTGCTTCTGTTTCAATGTCTTCTCTAGCAAGTTGGCAATTTTCTTACATCTAAAGTTCTTATGAATCTTATTTTAGTAGTGCAAGAAATGGAACTTGAATTTGTAGTGACAAGAACTGGAACTAATCATCATTCCGCAAAAGTAGTTTATTTTTGTATGAAAAATAATTTCTTCCAGGGATGTGGGAGTAACAGGGTCGCGGAAGCCTTTGTTATGTATAATCGCAGGGTGGGGGAAATTAAGCAGACATATTGAGTTTTTGAACGCTTAGGCTTATTTCGGCTGAAGCTTATTTCATTTTGAAAATTTTCAATGACAGATGAAGTTTGTACACCCTAAATTTTGGAAATTCTATTAAAATTAGACAATTAAACGGCTTTTAAGTAATTATGTTGACTGTTGAAGAAGCTTGTTTTTCAAGCAATCAATATCGTAGGTTTCTGCCTCATGTGGTGTTCTCATTTAAATCTTTCCGTTAGTATGCACGACTTTCAGATATAATTATCAGTATTAAGGGGAGAGTTTGAAGGAATACGGAGACTGGCAATTAAGTGGAAAGGGGTTAAAATGTTTGGACTATGAAAGAGCCAATGTTTGGTCAAGGGAAAGGTAGTTAATTAGGTTCATTATGGATGGAGGAAGAAACTGAAGGTCATGTCTAGGAAAATTGCAGAAGAGATGGATATTGATGAAATTGACAGGTACAATGAATATGAGCTCAGAAACTTCATGGATGTCTGAGAGCTTCCTGTTGAGTAATATGATATTAGCAGTTATGGATCCCTTATATGTGCCTTATTGATATCTTTGATGAGCAAAAGGAAAATGAAATACTACAAAATGCTCCAAAGTTGGAAGTTTATCAATCTCTGCCATGAGCCAACATAATGTGGTGATCTTCTGCTAGAGCTACTTACCCAGAAACATATTGTTGTCCTGCAAAGCCTCCTAAGAAACTATAAATGTGGTCTACAGGTATAAAGTTTGTGCTACTGGTTGTGTTTCAGGTTTTTTTGGATTGCAGTAATTGATGTCTCAGTTATATTGATGTCTTGTGCATTGCACATCTTTGTTCTTTCCTTGAAATGATCGTCTTATATATCTGAAATGTTCATCTCTTTCCGCCTCAAAATGAGTTGACATGCCATTTCTTGTTGCAGGGTCTATATGTTCGCTCAAGGCTTACAATTAACCCTGATAAGGTTTATAGAATGGCCATGACACGGCTAAATACGGATGCTGGGATTCTGGAAATCATGGGTGCTCCTCTTGCTGGAACTGACTTAAGAGCTTATGTGATGTCAGGGGGAGGGATTAGAATGAAGAATTTCAAGCCAACTCGTAGTAACAAACGTTGTTTTCTCATCTTCCCAGTACAAGGTTCGGAGAGAAAAGGTTTAGTCAGTGTTGAAGTTAAGAAGAAAAGGGGCCAGGTGTGCTTCTTTACTGTTTTCTTGTGTTGCCCCTCATATGGAGTAGAATCATTTAACTTTTAGGATCTTCTAGGTTTTGCATGTTTTACTGAACTCACTTCTAAAGTTGTGTTGAATGTCATTGAAGTTCTTTATGACTTGATCTCTGTCTTTAGAATAGTGAACTTAACCAAGGAAATCAATTTTGTTTAAGAGTAATCTGTCATGTATAGTTGTGTGAACACCTGAATAAAAGATCTCCTAACCCTGCACCACCTACTCCATAAGACAGTATTTTCCCATTTGATGAAGACATGAGCTTGATATGGATGGATTTGAATTGACTGGAACGTAAGAAAAGATATATTTGAAAATATTTCTATCTAGATGCGAGATTTCAAAAGTCGGACTTATCAAATCCATCCTGGTGAGATGTTCAAATGCTCCAAAGGTTTCATATCCATCCAATTCGTATGCTGCTTCGCTTAGCCCGACAATAGATTTTGTACAATCCCTTGCTAGAGAAATTGCGTTGCTCATGTTAACATTGCTCTGCATCTGTTTGACAATGGTAGTTAAAGAAGATAGAATATGGAATCCTTCTATACTTGACCACCGCCGAATTATGATTGGAAAAACATGGAATATTGCTCTTCTGCTAGTAAGACCTGAGTTTAGTGGTCTCAGAACATCCTCTGTTCCATAGTTCATGCATGCCCCTGAAAGTCATGGAATAACCCTTCTGCTTATTGAGCTTCTCTGTGTCTTTGCTGTGGCAGTATGATATGAGGTTGTTGGCAGTGGACATTCCAATGGCATCGGGTCCTGACCAGCGACTGTTTTTGATTGGAGACGATGAAGAATACAAAATTGGTGGTGGGATCATCGGCGAGCTACGAGATCCTGTGATCAGAGCTATGTCTGCTACTAAGGAATTCGATGATCTTGACCAAATCGAAGAACAGGAGGATGCCGAGAGAGAGCTTCAGGAGGCCGAGAGGAAGCGACAGGAAGAAATTGAGAAGCTCGAGAAAGATGGCTCATCATAGTACTGCTGGGTTCTCTTTTCTAATCTATTTTTCATGCACCACCACTTTTTTCACTACTACCCACTTAGCCCGATGGTTCTAACAGCCACCCAGTGGAAGGTTTCTTCGATGTTGAGATGGCCCAACTGTTAATAAATGCGTTGATACAATCAAACTGCAGCAGTTTATAGTGTTACAGAAAGAAGAAAAAGGGGACCCTTCTAGAATTCTTCTTCTTTCCGTTCTTTCACGGCAACGAGATTTCCAGTTTTTTAATAATCTGGAGAAGCTACAGTGGGTTTGACAAACTGGGTTGTGTGTCCAGGGTCATGGGAAGTTAACAAATTCAGCTTCCCTTCAAGTTGATTCACCACGAACTAAATTCGTAAATGGGCAGACATTCTTTACTTAAAGATACGCTCAGTCGCCCACCCCTAACTAGGGGCGAGAAGCGGTTCGGTTATGGTTAAATCGAATCGTCGAGACTGCAGCATTGTAGGTTAGCCGCCACCGTCACCATTTCGATGTCGTGCAGTTAGTCGGTTAGCTGGTGACCGAGAGACTAACCCTTGAAAATGTTGTTAGTGTTGCAACAACAAATTTCGGCAAGGACTCTCGAAGAATGACGAGGACACTTGAGGACGACGATGGTAGTGCGACGAGCCGACTATGATGGCGGGAGACGAGACGATGATAGCTGGGCGATGACGAGATCGAGAAGATGAGAGCGAATCAATGCTGACGGTCAGCTGACTTGCCCTAACCGCCACCCAATAACTATAGGTTTTTTCAATTGCTGGCTAGCCGATTAACCACGGTTCACGGTTTGGTTTTGCGGTTATCCAACTAACCAAGCAACGATTTAACAGCCCTACCCCTAACTGTCTGCTCTGCATTCATTGAATATCATAGCAAAATATATGTCGTGAGATCTGTCATGAAATCATCATTAAGAACAAGTATTTGTCGTAAATAGTTTCTTGTGAACACCTGAAGAGCGCAAAACTCGACTGTGTACCAGGTTCTTTTTATTTTATCATATCCCCGCAAGCACAACAAGTCTTTTTCCAGCAACTTTTTCCTGCATCTTGCATCCAAAAGTCGTTGGCTGGCTCGAATAAACTCCATGAACCCTAAACCAAAAATGAAAATAATAATCTTGGGCAGGTTATAAAACGCCTGACTTGTTCAATCCTAATATTGCCCGCCAATTCTGAAACCCAAAAAAAAGGAAAAGGCTCCACCTTTCCAAGTCAAAACAATGAAGCAGACCCATCACTGTCTTCCCCTGAAGCTGCTGCTGCTGCTTCTACTCATCACCTCTTCCAATTTCCCATCTCAGCCCAATTCTGCATCAGGCAGCAACTTCACAGACCGACTGGCGTTACTCGAATTCAAGAAAGCAATAACAGAGGACCCAGATGGCGGTCTCAATTCATGGAACGACTCCTCCCATTTCTGCAACTGGGTCGGCATCACTTGCAGCCAAAAACAGAGGGTCACTTCTCTGTCACTGCCAGGGTACAACTTCCAAGGCACCCTGTCTCCCCACATTGGCAACCTCAGCTTCCTCGAATCCCTCGAGCTCGCCAACAACAGCTTCCGCGGCACGATCCCTCAGCAATTCGTCAATCTCCTCCGCCTCCGAACCCTGAACCTCACCAGCAGTTTGCTGGAAGGCGGCGAGATTCCAGTCAACCTGACCCGTTGCTCCCAGCTCGGGGAGCTCCGGCTGAGCGGCAACGGCCTGACCGGAACGATCCCGAGAGCGATCGGGCTCCTGTCGAACCTCGAGGTGATCAGGATCGTGAGGAACGATCTAACCGGTCCGATCCCGGCTTCGTTAGGGAACCTGACGAAGCTTTACACCTTCGCTGCTGCTTATAACAATCTGATTGGACCGATTCCTGAAACCGTGGGTCGGCTCTCCAGGTTGAGCAATTTCGTTGTGGGAGTGAACAATCTCAACGGCACAATCCCTCCGTCTCTCTACAACTTGTCATCTATAACCATTTTAACACTGATGTACAACCAGTTTCAAGGCAGAATACCAGAGGACATTGGGTTCACTCTGCCCAATCTCCGTAGTTATGGTATCTCGTTGAACTGGATGTCTGGCCCCATTCCTTCATCCCTGTGCAACGCTTCTCGGCTCTTTGATCTCGACATGAACAAGAACAGCTTCTCGGGCAGCGTCCCGGTCTGTTTCGGGAGCCTTCCAGAGCTCCTGTACCTCCACATGGGAACCAATAACCTTGGGACCAATTCGTCCGACGACTTCGAGTTCGTGACAGGGTTGACCAACTGTAGCCAATTGCAGGAATTGGGTGTTGGTTTGAACAATCTAGGTGGTTCATTCCCGGACTTTGTGGGCAATTTGTCGATTCAGCTCGTTCTATTGCTTATCTCGGACAATTGGATCACAGGAAGCATTCCTTCAGGGCTGGAGAATTTGGTCAACTTGAATATGGTGGACCTATCTCTTAACCTTTTCACAGGACGAATTCCTTCTTACTTTGGCAATTTTTCGAATTTACAGGGTTTACAGTTGCAAGGGAATCGATTTTCGGGTCGGATTCCATCGTCGTTGGGAAACCTGACCCAATTGAATCGAGTCGACATTTCTAGTAACCAGCTAGAAGGCGCCATCCCTCCAAGCCTCGGACGTTGCCGTCAGTTGGGCCAGCTAGATCTCTCTGCCAACAAGCTTACTGGTGAGATACCCACCAACATTTTCAAGCTTTCTTCCCTGTCAGATGGACTCAACCTGTCACGGAACTCGTTCACCGGTCGGGTCCCGGAAGAAATCGGAAATCTGATAAATGTGGAAGCTTTGGATTTGTCTTACAATTTTCTGACAGGGGGAATTCCTGGAACCATTGGTGATTGCAAGAGCCTTAAAGCTCTGCACATGCAGAGCAACTCTTTCAATGACAGCATTCCTCTCGAGTTAGCTTCGCTACGAATTATGGAAAGTTTGGATCTTTCCTCGAACAATTTCACCGGAGGAATACCTTCAGGTTTGCAAGACATTCAGACTTTGCAGTATTTGAATCTTTCCTTCAACGATCTACGAGGTGAGGTCCCGACGAAAGGGATCTTCGCAAATGCGAGTGGCGTATCTCTAATGGGGAATCCCCTGCTCTGTGGTAATGTCTCGGAGCTCCATTTGCAAGATTGCACTGGCATAGCAAAACCTTCCAAGCATAAAAGAGTTGTCACTGTAAAGCGATCACTTGTAATTGTCTTCGCATCAGTGGCTTTCCTTTTCGTATCAGGATTACTGATTCATTTAAAGATCAAGAGATCAAAGAAGCAAACTTTTGATGGAGATTCCGCTTTGAACCACTTTGTAATGGTTTCTTACAAAGATCTCCATCAAGGAACCAATGGGTTCTCCTCAGGCAACTTGATCGGATCCGGTGGCTTTGGCACCATCTACAAAGGAACATTGGAACAAATCAAGACTCCGGTAGCTGTTAAAGTACTCAACAATCTTCAGGACAGGAAAGCTCACAAGAGCTTTTCGGCAGAGTGCAATGCCCTGAAAAATGTCCGGCACAGGAATCTGGTCAGGATCCTAACCTACTGCTCTAGCTTGGATTACAAGGGAGACGAATTCAAGGCTCTGGTTTTTGAATTCATGCCCAATGGGACCCTAGAAGAGTGGCTTCACACCACCGATCGCAACCTGAGCTTGATGCAGAGGCTCGATATCGCGGTAGATGTGGCATCCGGACTATACTACCTTCACGATCTCTGCGAGACCTCGATCGTCCATTGCGATTTGAAGCCCAGCAATGTACTCCTCGATTCCGACATGGCCGCTCGTGTGGGTGATTTCGGTCTGGCGAGGATACTGTCTAGCGATAGTAACTCGAAAATCAAAAGTAGCACGATTGGAATCAAAGGAACAATTGGTTATGCACCTCCAGGTGACAAAAATTCCCAAATGATTTGTATTAGTCACATTTTACACCATTCTTTCATTGCATCAAATGATGACTTTGCATGTTTGATTTTGGGAATGCAGAGTACGGAATGGGAAAGGCGGTGTGGAAAGAAGGAGACGTGTACAGTTTTGGGATACTTCTGCTAGAGATGTTCACTGGGAGAAGACCCACTGATGAGATGTTCAAAGAAGGCGTGAATCTTTGTGACTTTGTAAAGGCAGCGATTCCAGATAGAATTTTAACAGTATTGGATCCTTTGATGCCCATCCCAGTAGTAATAAGCAGAGGCGAGAGAGTGATAGGAAGTTGGCCGGCAGAAGCTGCCGATGGAAATGGCGTCGAAGTTAAGGAGATGGCCTTGATGGAAAGTGCGACGAACTGTTTGGTTTCGGTCCTTGAAATCGCTTTGAGTTGCAGTAGTGAGCTGCCGAGAGAACGTACGAAAATGGCAGAGGTAGCTAAAAAGCTTACTTCTGTTCGAGATGATTTTGCAGCTTCGTTCCATGTTCCACCAAATCGAGGGTGATGAGTGATTTGCTTAGGTTAACTAAGGGGGCAAGAACTCGATTTTGTTAGGTTAGTTTTCTTTTGAAAGTTGCGATTGTTAAATAGATGCATTGTTGTGAATACATGTATTGATGAATTTGATGCATTGTAAAATATAACGTTTGGTATGCGTAACTATGTATGTCACATTAACTAACAAGTTAGATTGGGATTTCATGCTGCAGTACTGGGTACGAATGGTGATGAATTGTGTTACTAGTGTGAGTTATGCTGCTCTGATCAATGGGCATCAAACCCAGATTTTTAAACCAACAAGGGGGTTGAGGCAGGGGGGCCCTATTTCCCCCTATCTCTTCTTACTATGTGCAGAAGGGCTATCAGCCCTCATAAAAAGAGCAGTCGAGGAAGGAAAAATTCGATGGATTAAAGTGAGTAGTAATGGTCCAATGATTACTCACTTATTCTTTGCGGATGACAGTATTTTTTTTCTTCGAGAATAAGAAAGAACAAGGGGAAGCGCTAAGGGATTTGCTACGCATCTATGAGCTACCATCAGGACAACAAGTAAGCCTAGTCAAATCAGAGCTTTCATTCAGTACTAATGTTCTTGAAGAAGACAGAAGACTAATGGGAGACATCCTAGGAATGAAAAGGGTTATGTACCATGATAAATATTTAGGGCTCCCAACAGTGATTGGCCGAGCCAAAAAGGCTGTTTTTGCACAGCTAATTGATCGAGTTAGAGACAAAATCAAGATGTGGAAAAGGAAACTATTGTCTATGGCAGCAAAGGAGGTACTTATCAAGGCAGTGGCACAAGCTCAAACTTTATATGCCATGTCAGTGTTCAAGGTACCTCAAGGTGTTACACAAGAAATTCAAAGAATGATTGCAAGTTTCTGGTGGGGAAGAAAAAGGGAGGAAAGGAGAATACATTGGATGAGCTGGGAGAAGCTATGTCGCCCTAAATATGAGGGTGAAATGTGTTTTAGAGATTTGCAAGGGTTTAATATTGCACTACTTTGGTAGGCAGGTTTGGAATCTCCTAAAGAAACCTGAGTGACTAGTGGCAAGAGTACTAAAAGCCCGCTACTACCCACACTGTGGTGTTCTGGAGGCGTCAGTGGGATCAAATCCCAGCTACATCTGGAGAACTCTCATGCAGGCTCAGTCCCTGGTGAGAGAAGGTACGCGATGGAGGGTGGGAAATGGAGAAGACATTCGAATCTGGTGGGATCGCTGGATTCCAGATGCACAAAACTACAAAATTCAATCACAAGCAACAGGGCTGGGGATCACAGAGAGGGTATCAAGTCTGATCGATTGGGAAACAAGGTCATGGAAAAGCAACCTACTGCAATCCTATTTCCAACCAAATGACAAGTTTCGAATTGAGCAGATCCCAATACCCCCCCCCCCCAACCTAGACCTGATATACATATTTGGGGAAGAGAAAAGACTGGCAAATACTCAGTCAGATCAGGATATAAGGAGTTGAAGAAGGCAAAAGCTACAAACCAAGTTGAGACCTATGTGCCTGTAGATTGGAAGCATCTATGGATGCTTGAGCTTCCACCAAAGGTTCGCATTTTTGTTTGGAGATGGAGGAGCAACATCCTACCAACAGGGGGTCAACCTAAGTCGACGAATTAAGGATGCATTCGATGAATGCCCTTTCTGTGGGCTATTGGAAACCCAGGAGCATATCACAAGGAAATGCGATTGGGCATGAAGGGTATGGAGACCTAGTAATCTGGCAAAAAAATTTCAGATGGGGGAAGGGGAAAACTGCGAGACTTGGTTATGTGATCTGCTCGAGGAAGCAAACAGGGAAGAGCTAACTAAAGTGCTAATCACGTTCTGGTTCCTCTGGAAAGAGCGTAACAACCATTTCTTCAATAACCCTAAGCTAGAAGAGTGGGAGATAGTGTGGAGAGCCCAGAATTACCTGGAAGAATACGTAGAGCAACAAGCCAAGGGCAACCCAGGACCTCCAGCGCCACAAACTCGATCTAGGGCGAATTGGGAGCCCCCACCTACGGGGGTTCTTAAACTAAATACAGACACGGTGATCCTGGGGGAAGAAGGAACAGGTTATGGGATGGTCTTAAGAGATTGGAATGGCAATTTTATCATGGGAGCTACTCACCGGACGAGGGTGCGATGGTCGGTTGAATTGGCGGAGGCGAAGGCGATGCTGTGGAGACTGCAATTAGCACGAGCTCACCAACCCCAAACGCTGCTACTGGAATCGGACTGCCAAACCCTAATCCAAAAGCTTGATCGGCTGGAGACCACAAATATGGAGGTGGCGATGATTTGTGACGAAATTCGTGAAGTAGCGGAGGAGAATGGCAATGTTGGGTGGAGATTCTGAAAAAGGGAAGGAAATGAATGTGCCCATGCGATGGCACGATTGAGAGGAAGAGCTGAAGAAACCGAAATGTGGTTGGACAGGCCACCTGTCTTTTTGGTCACTTTACTTTCTAGAGAGAGCAATGTAGTCACCGAACTTTGATTTCAGAATATAGATGAATTATAAAAAAAAAAACTAACAAGTTAGATAAAAACAATCTCAACTCAATTATCTCAAAATTCTCAGCTAAAAGCTTAAATATAATAATCACTCATTTTAAGTGATAATTTTTATCATATAAAAAAAAACAATCCACATATTGTGTATGCTAAAAAAAATATAATGAGGGCTCGACCTTCCTACACCGCATTATTATAGCTACTTATTTCTGTTGGATGTTTTGTTAACGTTTTGGATATTTTTGTGGATTATGTTAGAATTTTGTGGTTAATTGGTGTTTTGTTTAGGAAATTATTATTAGTGGTTTGAGTGGTTGAGCCTAATTGGATAGTTTAAGAGAATTGTCGTTTTTATTGTCTGTAGTTTTAGAAAAAATGAATCTTTAAGCAACTATAGAATAATTTTGTTACACTAATCTTTCCCTCCCTCTAATGGTCAAAATTGTTCACTCCCTTGTCTTCTTCTAGCCGACAGCCTCACTTCCTTAAATCTCCATTTGTTCTTTCTCTACCCATTCCTAAATTCGATCAAAGCTTTCTTAATTCTAGGAATGACAAAACGATCTAATATCTGGTTATGGTTCAAATTTAATTTGTTATGGACAAGATAAGGTTTAGGTAATATTATTTTTTGCGACAGACTCATATCTAATTTTTTAGTTTCTGTTTATATTAGACTCTTGTTATTGGGGGATCAAAGGGAAAATGAGACATGATTCTACAGTTGTTTATGTCATTTCTTTGTTTTGGAAAAAAAAAGGAAACACCAACATTCAAGTTGTGAGTTGGGTTGAAGCAAATTGTTAAGATGATTGGTATTTCACTTTTGTGTACATCATCTGAATGTAATAGACCCATATAGATTCGATTCAAGTGAGCTTTACCCAAACCTGATCCGATTCAAATCCAAAATAATTGAGAATTTATATAGGTCCATTCGGATCTAATCAAATACTCATATAAATCATGACAATCGCATCAAATTGCCCAATAGACCGAGTCATTGTCATTTCTTCTTTGATTCTATCATGTCACTAGTTCTAAAGAAGCCTCAAAAGTTCCTCCTCCAACAGAATGAAACCAGCAAAGCACAACTCATCTAAGTTTTCCTATGCTCTTTGGCAACATTTTTACATCATTTGACATGGTCTTCTGCATGACCTACCTTGCATAGTTTTGGTATTGACAACATATCACAGTGACTTCATAAGACATCACTCGTCCTTATACTACTCTATACTGGCGCAATGAGCATGTTCAACTTCTCTGTTTCGCTCCAAATAACGTATTATTAGTTAAAGATGGATTGAACCTTATGAATCATAGATATCTCTCAGACTTTATCTATATGAATTTGTCTAAAGCGTTGAATTAACTGCATCTATATGAATTTGTCTAAAGCGTTGAATTAACTGCGGCACCACCTATACCTTCAATCATTGGTGCCATCAACACATTCCTTCCTGTTTTTCAACAAACATCCTCAAATCTAACAATTTCAAATACAGCAACTAGACATGAAATGCCTATAAACTTGCAATTTACAAACCCACTCTGCCTTATTATTCCCTTTCCTTTAGTTCTCCATAATTGGGGTAGCTTGGCCTATTAAGAAAAGGCCATACCTTTTCCTTTCTTTATCTCCTCCAAAATGAAATGCTTCACTTTACCAAGAAAATAAAGCTGCAACAATACCAACTTTCTTTTTTGGCCCGCTCTCCCTCCCCTGCTTTTCTCCCTTTCTTTTTCCCCTGCTTTTTTCTCCCTTGGATTCTTTCTTTCAACCTCCCCTGCTTTTCTTACCGTTCCACTCTGCTCAGCTGCCAGCAACTGAGTGAGATCCTCACTCTGCTTTGCTCTTTTGCTCCCTGCTCTGCTTTCCCGATCTTTTTTACACCCAACACAGGAGAAAAAAGAACCAAAGATGAATAAAGGAGTCACCTTTTTTATATTCCCTCCACCATTGCATTTCCCCTGTTTCTGAGCTCTCTGACACTCCAATAATTCCTCCATTGGTGAATGGCGAAGCTCCATCTCCATATAATTAACTATACCCATTAAAAAAGGAAACAAACCAAATCCCCAGAATCCCTCAATCATGAGCTTCTTTCTTCTTCTGCTCCTGCTCTTCCTTCTGAGCTTCTCTTCCCGCCACTCAACTCAAGCTACTGACCTCAACTCTGACAAGGAAGCCCTCCTGGAGTTCGCCTCCTCTGTTCCCCACATCAGGAAGCTCAACTGGAACGCCTCCCGACCCGTTTGCTCCACCTGGGTCGGAGTGTCCTGCAACCCAAACAATACCCGCGTCGTCGCCGTTCGCCTCCCGGGGGTCGGGCTGTTCGGAAACCTCCCGCCGGACACACTCGGAAAGCTCGATTCCCTCAAGGTGCTCAGCTTGAGGTCCAATGGCCTCTTCGGCAGCATCCCACCTGATATCGCTTCGATTCCGTCGCTCATGTACCTCTACCTGCAACACAACAACTTCTCCGGCGAATTCCCCGGCGGAGCAATCTCCCCCAAGTTGACCGCACTCGACCTTTCCTTCAATTCCTTCTCCGGTCAAATCCCGGTGTCGGTTCGGAACCTGACCCACCTCACCGCTCTGTACCTCCAGAATAACACCTTCTCCGGAGGCTTGCTGAATCTCGAACCCTTGGAAAATCTCAAGCTCCTGAACCTCAGCTTCAACTATTTCAATGGCGAGATCCCTCCCTCGCTCCAGCGATTCCCTTTCCGCTCCTACTTCGGCAACGCCTTGCTCTGCGGGCAGCCGCTCAAGCGCTGCTCGACGGCAGATTCCTCTCTGCCTCTTCCACCTCCCCCTTCGTATCAGCTCCCGTCGTCCAATTCCACCGGGAAGAGGAAGCTGAGCAGGAATTTCATCGTCGCCGTGTCAATTGCAGGGGCGGCGATTCTTTTGATGGCGGTTCTGGCGGCAGTGTTCCTCTGCCTCCGCCGCCGCCGCGGCGGCGTCGGAGGAAAAAGGAAAGGGAAAGGCGAAGGAGCGAATAACCACGACAAAACGAAGTCGTTTGGGAGCGGAGTGCAAGGGGCGGAGAAGAACAAGCTCTTCTTCTTCGAAGCAAGTGGGCATACTTTTGACCTGGAGGATCTGCTGAGGGCGTCGGCGGAAGTTCTCGGGAAAGGCAGCTTCGGGACGACGTACAAGGCGGCGCTGGAGGACGGCCGGTGCGTGGTGGTGAAGCGGCTGAGGGAAGTCGTGGTGGTCGGGAAGAAGGAGTTTGAGTCGCAGATGGAAGCCATTGGGAAAGCTGAAGGCTCCCACCCTAATGTCGTTCCCCTGAAAGCTTACTATTACTCCAAAGACGAGAAGCTCTTGGTCTACAGCTACTTCCCCGCCGGCAGCTTCTCCTCCCTCTTGCACGGTAAGTAGCTACAGAATCGAATTAGGGTTCAATTGACGTTCAATTGACAAAATTAGGGTTTTGCTCTGCCTTTACCGAATCGAAATTAGGGTTCAGTCAAACTGATTCTAGAACATTAAATTGGGGACAGGAAACAGAGGAGGCGGAGAAGGAAGCAGAACGCCGTTAGGTTGGGAACCAAGAATGAAGATAATCATCGGAGCGGCGAGAGGAATCGCCCACATTCACTCCCAATTCGACGACACAACCTCGACCTCGACCTCCACCGCCGCCGGTACCAAATCCGTCCACGGAAACATCAAAGCCTCCAACGTCCTGCTCACCGCCGACCTCGACGCCTGCATCTCCGACGTGGGTCTAGCTCCGCTGATGAACTTCCCGGCCACCATGTCCCGAACCATGGGGTACAGAGCTCCCGAAGTGATCGAGACCCGGAAACCCAGCCAGAAATCCGACGTCTACAGCTTCGGGGTCCTGCTGCTGGAGGTCCTGACGGGGAAAGCGCCGATGAGAGGTCCCCCCGGAGGCGGCGGTGCGTACGACGAGGTGGTGGATCTGCCGCGGTGGGTGAGGTCGGTGGTGAGGGAGGAGTGGACGGCGGAGGTTTTCGATGCGGAGCTGGTGAGCAGCCGGAGCGTGGAGGAAGATATGGTGCAGATGCTGCAGATCGCTCTGGCTTGCGTGGCGAAGGGTCCCGAGATGCGGCCCACCATGGATGAAGTGGTGAGGTTGATTGAGGAGACGGTGAGACCCAATTCCGCCGCCGGTGAGAGGAAGAGCGAGAGCGAGAACACCAACGACGGCAGCAACAATAGGAGGTCGTCTTCCGAGGTTGAGACGACGCCGCCGTCGAATGTGCCGACGCCGTCGAATGAGTGATCATTGAAGGAAGGAAGGAAGGAAGGAAGGAAATATGTAATGTATGATTTTGATTGTATGATCAATGTATGTTTGGAGAGGGGGAAAATTCCCGATTTTCCTCTGTTCATTATGGATTACCGGAAAGATGTAATTTCTTTCGCGAGATTACAGAGGTGGATAAATGGACTTTTCATTCAGTTCTAGATAGGGCTTCGTATTTAAGGCCCAAATCATGTCAACAAAGAGCCTCGACACTTGCTGGGCTTTACAGCTCAAATGTGTTTTTGGGTGAAGGTTACAGCCCAATCTTTTTGAAGAAATTGTTGTGATACATCAAACTCACATTGTCAATTAAGAAACTAGCGTGGCTAGTGGCTACGGCCAAATGGCTGGAGGAAGGTGAGGTATGAAATTCGATAATGTAATATGGTGTATAGCTTATTGTTGTATAGTTTTTTTGGGAAATACGTGATAAAAATAGTGAATTTTAGTAGGAAATAGACATGAATGATGCAACGAATCAAAAATCAGCCTTATGAACCAAAATCAAGCACCTGTTACCTTGTGAAACAATATTGTTTCTGGTAATATGATGAGGTGGAGTAAGTTTTATAGAAACCGAATTCCAGACAATCGAATAAAAATCGCATATTCCGCCGGTTTTCGGGAAATGAGCATCTCACAATCGTTACTAGCTTTTACTCGGCCCGTTGGCCGATTAATTTGCTTTATAAAACTTTCATCTTGTCATCATTGTGCTTTCTGGTTTTTTTGCCAAGTCATGATAAAATCTAAAGAAATCAAGAATGAACAACACGATTTGGGATAGGAACCACCGTTCCTGGATCCCTAGAAAATGGTGGTAAACACGGACTCACCTGCCAAACTGGTTTAGATTGAGATTTTTATCGGGTATCAGGGAACCATGCGATTATAAATTAGAATTGATCAAAACGGGCCAAAACTTGAAATTCAGCATGTTTGACCGACCCATGCCAAACTCTAATTATTCTTTACTTTTAAACTTTCTATTTGAAAATATAAAATAATGAAAGAAAAGAGAAGACTGCAATTCGCCATTTGCAAATCACTTATTTGGGAATAAAACTATAGAATTTCGAAAGGAAACTAAAAATGTTTAGGATCGTTTTACTTGATGGGCAAATCCCGTGAGGTCAGGCCCATTCAATTCTTTTATTTTATGATTAGCGGTTAGCCCATTAGAATCCATGCATTAGTTTATTATTATTTTTTCTTTTTAGCAATAAAAAGGAGTATTATTTTTGTCTTTTCATATATATTTTACCACCACAGAGAAATAAAAGGACTTAAAGAAAAAATTAACACTCCTGAACCTGTTTAAATCCACATGTGTACGGTAAGTTGGCCCGTTCCACAGAGGAAAAAGAAAAAAATTGATGCTCCATATTCTACCCTTCCTACAAACGCTCTTGGAGCAGGGAATTTGAAATGGAGGAATGATTTTTTTTTCTCTCTGCGATTATATGTTTTTAATTTAAAAAGATACAAAAAATGTACTTAGTGTGATTGGTTATGATCTTTGCTTTTCTTTAAAGTGATCATGGTTTAAATCCTAGTAAGTGTCTTTTTAATGAATAAAAAAAAGTAATTGTGAATACCAAAATGTCCTTCCTACTTTCACTCTGGATGCAGGAAATTTGAAATGGGGCTTCACGTTTTCTCATTTGGCTTTTATTTATTGTGTAGATTGTTGGTATATTTTAATCTACGATTAATATATATTTTAAGATCATATAATTTGTATTGTATTAAAATGATAGTATCTTTGTTGACTTCATGATATAGTAGATTTATAAGTGTTATAATTGAAATTTTATAAGTAAAGTCTTACGTATAATAATGTTGGAGGTACGGGGCGGGTATTACCCACGGGTACAGGGAAGAGTTTGCAAAAACTTCACCACATGGGTATGGGGCGAGTACGAGTTTGGATATTTATAAGTGGGAATGAGAATGGTTTAGACAAACTCGCCCCAAACCTGCCTCATTGTCATCCCTATTAAAATTTGATAAATTCAAAGAATTAATAATGAACAATTTGTTAAACGTGGCTAAATCAAATCAAAACGAAGCAAGCGATACACGCAATTTACTCGACGAAAAATAAGGACTATTGCCTGGGAGTTGTCCAATCTATTGACAGTTGTTATGCGTGTATTGTCATATGTTATCGTTTATTTGATTGGGTGTAAACATGTCATCCTTAAAATTTCATAATAGTTCTACCAAAAAAAAATTCATAATAGCATGCAGTGAAAGAAATACACTTTTTCTCGTTGAATTTTTTTACATATTTGAATGCAAGTACGTGTGATTAGAAAGTAACTAAAAGCTCATACTATAAAATTGAGTTTCACACATTATTTTCCACTTTTCTAGTATAACTTCCAATCCAATTGTATGATATTTTTACAAATACAGCTCTAGCTCTAGCTCTAGCTCGTAAGTATTGAACTAATACATCACACCATACACCTAGGTGATTGATCAAGGGGGCGATAATTTTTATTTATTGATAACATCGTATCCTTCATTTTAAACCAATCGAAGTTGAGAAATCTTTTTTTGTGATAACGTGAATATTTATTTATTTTCTTATTCCTAACTTCAGTAGAAGGAAGAAAATATTTATCCTTAACAACCCCTTCCAAAAGGGTAAGAAGATTTGTAAAACAGGAACCTTTCTTTTTACCCCTTGCTACCTTAGTCGGGGTAAAAAAAAAAATATGGCTTCAAATTCGACGATGTAAGTTTTGCTCCTGAAGAAATCCTGGGATGCTCAAAACGCAACGATTTGCATCCCATTCTTCCAGGATTTTTTCAAAGGTACATTAATTAATTAACATCTCTTCTTCTTTGCAATCTTGTTCTCTTGGTCTCTTCTCTCCAAAAAAATTGCAAATCATGATCAAAGGTTCTTTTGAGTGTGTTGATTCGATGTTCATCGTCATTGATTCACTTATATCGATGAAAATTTTGGAACACCTTCAAACATGTTTCATAGAGGGGGGGGGGGGTTATCTAGAATGTGATCGCATTGAAATTTTTTGAACCGTTTTGGCTTTTTCTTTTATTACAAGGCCAAAGGATTAGTGGAAAAAAGCAACAAAATGATCGTCAAAAAGTGTTGAGTGAGATTTTCTTAATTCTATTGACTTGTTTCTTTATCCAGATAGTAAGACAGACATAAGTCAAATTTCTAATTTGTAGATAATCTAAATGTCTTACTTTTCCTTTCATCCATAGGAAACAAATATTTTCGGGGGCAAATTGTAGAGATACACTAACATTTTCCAATTGATCCAAGCTATGACACGAAGATGTTGTTGGCCAAAGGTAATTCTTTACACTTTTAGATTTCAAAATATTGCATTTAACATCCTCCTGTTCTTTTTATGATTTAGTGATGTCAATGTGGGTTTGGGTGCAGATATTTCGTAGTTGTTGCAATTTTAGATGTTGTAACGATGTGAATAACGAAGATAATCATGATGAGAATAACGCCGACGACAAGAATCATCACATAGAGCTAGCCACGGGAAGGGTTCAACTCATCAACACGATCCAGAATTGGGATGCCAAGCTCCTCGAGACCAAGAAACCCGGCAAGATTGTCATCCTCAATTTTAGCTCTTCCTGGAGTAGTCCCTGTAGGAGAATAGCTCAACCCTACTGCAAGCTTGCTGACAAATACCCTTCTATCACATTTCTTACTGTCGACGTAGATGCACTTGCGGTACAAATCAAACACCACTCCCCTAACACTGCTGAAAATTGTTTGAAGAATGAATCTCATGTTACTTGTGATCGCCGCAGGAAATGAGTTCGACATGGGAAGTCAAGGCCACACCCACATTTTTTTTCTTGAAAGAAGGGAAACAAGTGGACAAACTTGTTGGTGCAGACAAGCAAGAGCTCAAAACGAAGATTGCTAACATTGATAGTCTACCTTCATAGTATTCCCAGGAACAAGTGCAAGTGATTCTTTTGAATAGAGATTTGCCCTTATCTTTTTCTTAGTGCTCTCTCATCAGCAAAACAAAATGTAAAACAAGTATGATAAAAAAAAAAAGGATTCGAAGAGGAAGAGAGATGTATATGTTTATGGAAATAGTATGGTTGAGCATACATGGAGTGTAATTTTGTAGTAATACTTTTGCATGCAAAGTGTAGATTTATTTTCTTTTCCATGCTTTTGAAATTTTGGAAACCAACGACATCTATTGATAGGGCTCAAAAGAAGGATGATTTTCACTATATCTCCATTAAAATGCTCATATTGTCCGAGTTCTTTGATGGTAGAATATATGTTTTATGTAGTCAATATATCTTCCTCTCTAGGTACGTAGTGTTTTCTCTACAACTTTCAGCTTCTGGAAAAGACAATTTTCATTTTATATGCTCAATCGACCTCGTTTAAGGAGTGTCCATTTCTCTTTTACACTTCCATAAGTCTTTCCATATTTCCTCTAGTTCCTCATCCACCTCGTCTTATGCCATTTGGTAAGCTGATCTCGACCTGAATCTGTCATCTTTCTCAAGTCCCCAGTTTTTTTTTTTTTGTCTTCCTCAAGTCCATTCTAGGGAGTGTCCATTTCTGCACTACAAGACATAATAGCACGAGGAAGGTACTTCCTAAGTCTAAGCCCAATCTCATTCACCATCGATAGTAACCCATTTAGCCACTAAGGAATCTCTTTCGCTTTCAGTGGTGCTAAACAAATAGGTGGTTTTTAAAATGGTTTCACATTCTAGTCGGGGATGATTCCAGAACTCCATAGATTCTTGTGTCTTAACACTCTAATATGTGGCTTTTCTCATTAGCAATATTGCTTTGTGAATATATTTCTAAAAGTTAGAGTGGATTCTAATTTTAATGGAAGTGATCTTTTCATTCTTGTGTTAGAAAATATTTTTCTTGCATATCTCCACTTAAAAGGTCATATTCATTGTTCAACATGAGACACAAATTTGATCATGTAAGTCATTAGCCTTTGAAAAACTATACCAAGCTCATGTAATTGGTTTGGTTGGTGTTCTTGGAGTAGAGGAATTCGAGAAAACCTGAGCCATGCAAGTAGACACGCTACATGTAAGATCTTGTCCTAAAATCATAGGTAAGCATCAGTTCAAATATTATAACCTTGTCTAGAAAATCTGAAACACCACATTTAAGGGTGTTAGTCGGTGCAGTTTCGGTTTAACCGCACCTAAATATCGGTTAACTGCAATCAAAATTGTCCCAAGATCGCTAGCCGAAACCGAAACCGACAGAGACTTCGGTTAACCGAAAACCGCAAACATCGGTTTCGGTTTTCCATTGCGGTTAACCGAAACCGCGGGTTGTGTTCACTTTCTCGATTTTCTTTCAGAAACCGACACCCAAAACCGAATTTCAACCACCTTTTTTAATGATTCACCCTCAATTTTGAGTGACCTGCTTTTGTTTCAGCCTCTATAATCACACACCATAAAGTCATCTAAATCAATTGAACATAAAGCCGAAAGCAACCACACAATTCAACCACAACTCCACAACATAAAGTCTACATGCCCACAATTCAACCACAAGTCACAATCACAACTAGACACAAATAACAAGTTCATTATCTCCAAATCATCAACCTAAATGATCCAAGGATCTCGCTCCAATTCATCTAGCCCATAGTCATCATTTACTCCAAGATCTTCATCTAGCCCATAGTCATCAACCTAAGGTTCACTCTATCGAGTGCCAAGGGGAGTTAGAGAGGGGTGACTTTCGAGTTCTAACTCTTAAAAACATTCGAGACTCTTGATGGAGGGTTGTGTGCAATAGGTGAGAATTGGGATGTTTGGAATTGCGACTTTGATTGGTTTTGAATCTTACAACTTTTTCCGTTAGCCAAAGTAAAAAAATCATGTAGTCACACTAGTAGGCGGTTATCGGTTTTCTTATCGGTTAACCGCTAATCGATTAGTCGGTTAGCGGTTAACCACTAACCAAAATACTACTAACCGAAACCAATAAGGAAGTAGCGGTTATCGGTTAACCACTAACCGACTTTATCGATTCGGTTATCGGTTAAAACCGATAACCGACTAACCGTTTATCACCCTACATTTAAGTTGACATTATATATTTGTTCCAGAACACAATTAATCATCAAATGGGGATGTAGCTCACATGGTAGAGCGCCCGCTTTGCATGCGGGAGGTACAGGGTTCGATCCCCTGCATCTCCAATTTTTTTCTAAGTATTAGCTGATTGAACTGCAAAGCCTTAAAACCCTCTGTTTTTGAACAATCAATGCACAGAACTGGCTGCACTGTACGTACTGTAAAACTGTGCCAAGAGCAATTAACAATGTAATACTGGAAAACCTGTATTCCCTCTGACACGCCATTGAAGAAGCTCTCAACTAAGTAGCCCTAGATGCAGCAGGAGCCGCGGCAGCAATGTTGAGGAGGAGACCGGTGAGCAGGAATGGTGAAGAGAAGAAAGGACTGTGGTCGCAATCCAAAGCATAGACTCGAGAAGGCGGCCATCGCTTGATCATGGCATCCTGCTGCTCCGGCTGCACCACATTGTCCTGCATCGTCTTGATGTAAACCCGCTCCACCCCTTCTGCTGCCGCCAAGTCATCAGCATAATCATCGAACCGAGCGGATTGGAGGGCGATGAGGGGCCCCGGCTTCAGGAGCATGGCGGCTAAGGTGCAGTCCTCCGGCGGGCTGGTGTTGTACAGGATTTCGCGGATCAAGTGGGTGGCCACCTTGGTCGATGTGGGAGGGTTGTTGGTTCCTTTCGCGAACTCGAGCTCGTTCACATTTTCGCCGTATCTTGATAGGTCTGGAACTGCCTGCATACCAGCATAATGGAAGTAACAACTAATTAGCCTCTGTAGCTTTGGAGGGCATTCCTCTCCCTCCCCCAAGAACAAAAAAAAACAGACTAGATTGGATGTTGAGTAAATTTCAGTGACCACAAAGTAAATAGGCAATTGTGAACTATTGGTTGATGATGATCAATGATTGAATACTGATGTAAACTTTCCATCCTCATCTGATTCTGTTCATTGATAGAATAATCTAATATTGTAGGTCTCTATTGATTTGAAAAGATAGGTGATGAACAGTCCTTTTCTTTCTTTCCCTAAAGAAACCTAAATGCATGGATTGAGCTAATTCATGTATTTGTGAGATTATTAGGGGACGTTTGGAAGTTGCGATTGTTAAATAGATGTATTGTTGAGAATGCATGTATAATATTATACATGTATTGTCGAATTTGATGCATTGTAGAATACAACGTTTGGTATGTGTGATTGTGTATGTCGCATAAACTAAAAGCTGAGACAAAACAATCTCAACTCAACTATCTCAACAATCACAACTAAAAGTTGAGATATAACAATCACTCAAAATGAGTGATAGTTTCTGTCACATCACAGAAACAATCCATGTATTATTTGTGCTAAAAAAACAAAAAAACGATGCATTATAAACAATACATGCATAATGACAATCTCAATAAAACTATCGCAACCTCCAAACAACCCCTAAGTCGTTTTTTTAGGTTATAATTGAACTAGAATACATGCATTCACTTTTTGGAGGCTCCACCACAATCACTCAAAATTGAGAGATTGTAAATCTCTACTTTTTGTTGAGATTGTTCACAATCACTCAAATTAACTTTTATGCATTTACAACAAAAACACAATCTAAACCTCCAAACAAAGTATTTGTCTAATACATCAATTAATTCAATACATCAAATGATAATACACTAATTGACACAATACATCAATTTGAAGAATCACAACTTCCAAACAACCCCTATGAGTCTTTGAATAATAAATAGCTAGCAAACCAAATTGCTACTGTACAAACGATGATGAAATCTAAACATGTTGCCGGGATACAGAGTCAACAAAAGGAGTATCATCGTAGTTGGCGATAATACGAGAATGATAACATCTACCATTCGTTACTAGGGGTGTGAGTTCGGGTCGGGTTGGGTTACTCGAACCGAAACCCAAAAAAACCAGAAAACCCGAAACCGAAAATCACTAAACCCGAACCCAATAAGGACTTGCGGGTTCCGGTTACCCAAAACCCGAAAATTCCTTATCGGGTTCGGTTAAAGCAAAACCGAAACCCGAAAACCCGAATGCCTAAGAATACGGGTTGAGTTCTATTCATTGGAGGTTTTTAGACGAAACCCGAAAAACCGATAAGCAAAACCGAACTCGAAACCCGAAACGAACACGAAAACCCGAAAATGTATATAATCGGATCTGTTTCGAGTAAACCCGAAAAACCGAACCCGAATGGACATCCCTATACGCGGTAGGTAGCTACCAAACAAAAGAGTACTCCAACCCTTTTCGTTTTGGAGTGCATAGTTTTGTTGGGATGGGTATAAATGTGCCGATACAACCGTAGATACTACTAGATAGGCTGACGACAAGGTATAAAAAAACATGCAAATTGCAAGGCAGGCAGACATACAGCAGGATAATAACGAATAAGTGGGAACTGGGAAGACAAACCAATTCTGGATATATAAAAACGCATACAGTCCCCAACTAGCTGGCAAGAAAACAAAACAAATACCAAACAAAAGTTCTATAGTGATCATCAATAATTTCAAGGAGCTAGTATAGTCAGCAATGTGTTTTTGTCTGCATGACTTCGAATTTTTTATGATAAAATAAGAAAATATTGACAAACATATCATTGAACTGCATTATCTAAAATATTTGTTGAATTTAGTCATATTAGTTAAATCGCGTGTTGGTATTTAATCGATATGGTTTTATCGTGATTTTCTAATGATTGTTGTCGTCGGATTTTTGTATACATAGTTTCAAATAGTCGTAAAATTCATATCCTCCAAACATGAATAAAGAATAACTGAACAAAATTTGCAATTCACCTACGTACGTTACTTATACCGAATATGTGACTTTAGTCGTATTTGTGATATCATATCATCTCACATTAGTCGATTGTACCGGTTAAAGACAATATCAACCTAAACCAATACAATTTTTTCACACTACTTATGATTGTTAAACATATGTAATATCAGACCGCTAATTATTTCAAACCGATTAGGTAAAAAAAATTATGAGATAGGTCAGAGGAGAGAAGAAAAAAAAAAGAGGTGGGAGGTTTGGCAGAGACGGAGACAAGAATAAACTTACATCGAGGACGTCGCGGTCGGTGCAGAAGCCGAGCTTGAGCATGGTGGCGGCCAGGTAGACGGCCACTCGAATCTTGCTTGGGAACTTGTGGCTCGCCTCCGTCACGCTCAGCCCTCCGGCGCTGTGCCCCACCACCACCACCTGCAACTTTCATCCATTTTCATTATTATAATCCAATTCCCCCCAATTGGCCAACCAAAATTCAAACAATTTCTTCATCGCACCGATTTCCCCGCCCCGACAACAGTCCCGGTCGCCGATTAATTGAACTCAAGCAAATTGATCAATATCTCTCACCTGTTCGTTCTCCGGCAACGACGCCATCAGGTCGAGCAGCGGCTTGTTGTACTCCTGGAACGACTCCAGCGTGTTGGCGTCGGTCCGGTCGACGCCGGCGCTGGCGAGGTCGACGCACGACACCCTGCAGTGTCCCGAGGACTCCAGCAGGGTCCGGATTTTGTACCAGCACCAGCTCCCGTGCCCGACCCCGTGGACCAGCACGAAATGATGCGTCGGTGGCGGTGCCGAGCAAGTGTTCGGTGAAATGCCTGACCGGGCTGGTGATGACGATGTTCCTAATTCGGATCCCATTTTTGTAGATTCAAATCAAGTTCCGCCCAGGCCACGCCGATTTCTCCGATGCTATATATAGAGAGAGGAAAGCGGTCAACAGAAACCAGTCTGCCGGCCAGCAGCAGCAAGCAGGGATGTGGCCTGAATCTTTTGACGTTTAGCGGTGGAAGTGGTATCTGAGCTTTTGTTCCTCTGCTCTTTTTCTCCTTTTGATTGGTTTTGCTTGGGCCTGTGTTTTGGGTGGTGGATTAGTGATTTATGTACTTTTTTTTTTTACACAAATATGTTAGAGGGCTGGGGAAGGAAGAAACGAGTGTCGTTCATGAGATTCGAATTTGGGGACTCCAAATTGAAAACAAGCTCTATGACCACTCGTTCACGGTCTCGTTCGCGATTTATTTCTTTTCTGTCTGCCAGCTTACAATCATCGACTTAAGTAAGGTTAGGTGTGGTCAGGGCTATTAATGAACCAATCCGCTAATGTCTATGGTATTGTGCGTACTCCTAAAGTCTAGTAATTGTCCAAAATGTTTTGGTTTAGTAAATAAGCATACCCATTTAATTTTTGACTCATAATGTTTTGGTTTGTTGTGCACATGAAAATAAAATGGGGAATCACGAAAGTTTGGTTTGGTTGGTTACATGGAAGTATAAATAATTTTGTATATTAGGTGTATCATTAATTGGTTAATTGGTTTCATTGGTTAGCAGTGTTGAAACCAAACCAAACCACCTAAACCAAATAAGCTTAATTGTTTAACCAAACCAGACCAATTATCCAAATTAAACAAACCAAATTAACCGAATGCTTCCGGTTAATATGATTACCATGATAACCAATTCGTTTGAACACCCCTATTTATTTATACCAAACCGTATGTAAATTATATATCTTAATATTTAGAATACGTGAGAAAATATGTTACAAGAGCACAAGGGTCAGATATCCCAAAACATTCTCCCAACCCACATTGTCATGGGCCAAACAGTGGGCCACCTGATTTGTTGACTGCTGGCAAAAGCCCAATTAACAACACCTCCCCACTGAAGCGGGGAAGAATTCTCTCGTGGGCAACCCCTCTATCTAGCCTGACGAGTCGAGTTCTCTCGTGGGCTTTCGCCCTCTGCTCTACGGATTCTGGTGCTCATCAGTTAGCCCATGTTTCCTCAAGTCCAGACTAGGAGTATTGGCCTGGTAGACCTTGTTTCGTTTCGTATTATGCTTGGGCATCGTGGATATAAACACTTTAGACAAATTCTGCATCGATAAAGTATCACAGAGATTCATCATTTAAAAATAAGAAATTGGCATTAACCGTCAAAATACCTTTTTGTATTAAATGGAAGAATTATTGTAAGAACTCTAAAGTTAAAACATTCTTATTACGAAGCAATGCAAATGTGAGTGGTGTCTCGAGTAATCATCTTTATATGCATCTCAAGACAAAAAAATATACCCTAGATAGGAAGTTAGTAAATATAAAATGTGAACACGAAATTCTTTTTAACCAATGATCGCGTTCAAACCTAGTTGATTATGGAATGAAACATTGAACCAAAACGATCATAAGAGTGGTTAGGAGAAATGAATTATCCAAGGCCATTTTGGTAAACGAAGAGAAGAATAACAAATAGGGAAAATCAAAAGAAAGGCGCCAAACTTGCCAATCAAAACCATGGCGGATGGTGGCGAGGTGAAGTGAGAATGAACTGGACAGAGATAAGAAGACAAGGCGGGGTGGGGTTGGGGGAATGCCGGGAAATCTGGCCATGGCAGTTAGCGATTCAAACTTTTCTCCGCTTCGAGTTCCCCCCCATTTCCCTTCTTCTCTCTTTTTCCTCCCACCCAATTCGGCCAGGCTCGAAATTCAAAACCTTTTCTCCTTGGCACTTTCCAATTCCCACTCAAACCCTAATAAGTAATACTACTTTCCCTCTCTCTCTCCGTCCCCAATTCTCCTTTTAATCTGAGTTGATCGTTCACCTGTTCCTCTATAAGCAAGCCGCCGACCCACCCCCCCACTGTCTCCTCTCCAATCCCCATTCCTCCACCTTCTTTCTCTCGTCTTCGACCACTTCCTTTTATTTCCCCTCTGTGTTCTTCTAACCTTCTTCTTGTTCTCCGCCGGAATTGCAGTATCTGGTTGCTTCAGATCAACAAGGTCAGTGAACCCGTGTGCTTTCATTTTCCCTTTAATGGGTTCCTCCCTCTGGGTGATTGCTCTGGTTTGTTTCCGTTATCAGTGAATCAGTCAACATGTTGGAGCCTTTTTCTCTCTCTCTTTTATATGGGTTTACAAGTTATACTTGGTTGTACAGTCGCTGTCTTTAACTTCACTGCTGCTTGGAAAGTTTATAACTTTTCCCGATTGAACTTGATGTAAATCCTACAGCAGTCTTGTACGTGGTAGATGTGAATTGGGTACTCAAGGGAGTGCCTTTTTTTCTTTTGGTTCGAGCCTCTAGATGAATGATCTGCTTGGTTGAATTGGTGTAGGGAGAAAAACTGTTGATTAGTAGTATTGATAAGCAGAAGCTTCACCATGAATTGTTTGCTTGATGAATGAACTTAACAGGCTTATGGCCAGTATGCCACAGTTGGTTGCGTGATCCTTTGGAAATAAATGTATTTGTTGATATGGACGGGGTAAACTAGCAAACAATTTGGACCTATGATCTATGTCTTGTTGATTTGAAGAGGTGTAGATGGATATGAAATGTTGCTTAGCTGGTGAAAGTATGAAAAAGGATTTGTTTGTGCAATTGAGCCGTACTAGATCTGTTCCTTTTTTATGCTTTCTTCACTTGCTCTCTGTATGATAAGGCTGCCATCGATCTGGTGACACTTTGTAATATTTCTGCTTCTTTCCCAATTGAATTTCTGAATTTCCAATTCTCATGCTAACGGTGTATGATTCTTTGACAGGGATGGATCAGAATTTTCCAAACGTCCTGACTGCAGAAGATGTTGTCTACCCTGAGAAGGAAGCTATGGATCTTCAGCAAACCATGCCTGATTCCATATCTGAAGCGGATGAAGTCTATACAATTTATGACCCTGATTCCCCTTTGCTGACTCCTGATACAAAGCTGGGTGGAAACAAGGTCCATCATCAAGTTGCATCTGCCAGTCCTGGTGGTGGCGCCAATAGTTCTGATCTCTCCTTAAAGGATGGATCTGAATCATCTGTGTCACAGTCAGACTCTGACTCCGAATCTTCCAACTCTAGCAATGCCTACTATAGTCTCCCGTTAAACACTGGTCGGAAGGGACTGTCGTACCAGCTAGGGAATGACGAAAAGGTAGAGATCGTTGTGGCTGATGAAAATAATGCAACTTATGAAGAACTGCTCAGGAAAGTATCCATGTATGAGAGCGAGTTGAAGCTTTCAAACCTAAGGCTGCAGAAGTCAGAAGAAGAGGTTTCCGGGTTGAAGAATGAACTGAGAAAGGGTGCTGGAAGTATGCAGTCTCAACTCCTATCTGCTCAAAGAGTGATCAAAGCTAGAGAAGGCGACCTCGAAGTTGAAAGGAGAAGAGCTGTGGAGCTGGAGAATAGAATAGCTGAAGGTGAGTCGGAACTGCTGCACCAGCTGGAGTTGGCTAGAGAAGAGATAGCGGCATTGAAGGAAAGCAACTTGAGTTACAGAGACCAACTGTCGGACCAAGATGAAGAGGCGAAGGAGCTGAAAGCTGCAATGCTTTGCGTGGAGGTGAAATTCCATGCTGAAAGGTCAGAATTGCAGTCTTGCATATCAACCATGTCAGAGCAACAGACGCTGCTGGAGGCAAGCATCAAAGCATGCGAAGCTGAGAAGATGGAGATGAAAGCTTTGCTTGATGCTCAGGCAATTCAGTTTGGATCGGAGATAAGTCAATTGAAGGCAGAGCTCGCTAGCAGAGGTGAAGAACTTGAAGGCTTGAACAAGAACTTCAACACCTTCAAAAACAAACATGACATGGTCGTGGTGGAGAAGGATGGGTTGATTGCTAAGGTGAACACCATAAATGCCGAGCTGCGCTGCCAAGATGAACAGAGAAAGGAAGTGGAAGAGCATCTGAAAAGGTTGAACCTTGAGAATGGGGATTTGATTGCTGACTGTGAGAGTGGAAGGAAGTTGGTAGAGGAGCTGAGAATGAGTGTGGTGGAGCTGGAGAAGGAAGTGAATCGGCAGAAGGGCGAGCTTTTAGCAGGTGCTGAGGAGAAAAGGGAGGCGATTAGGCAGCTGTGCTTCTCTTTGGAGCACTACAGGAGTGGTTACAAAGAGCTTCGTGAAGCATTTGTTGGACAGAAAAGGCTTCGTGTTGTAGCCTAGTGAAGGTGAAAAGTAGGAAGCTTTTCAGTGTGCTGGTGAACTGAACTGAAATGAAGCTGCTGCTGTTCATTGAAGCTTATGTTTTCAATAGTGGGATGTACTGTGAGATAGGTTTGGTTGGGAAAGCATTAAGATTTATCTAAAAGACGCTCCTTTTCTGTTGTTCGAATTATTGTTACTAATTGTTTCTTCCTATGCAAGTTATAACTCAAAAGTAATGGAAAAGCCAAACTGCATAATAGCGCTGTTTTTTTTAATGTTTTTTTTTTAGTAAGCACTAATCTGTCTTGTGGATATGATTCCTTATTTGAGCACAGGACAGGAGAGTGAACAGCAGTTGAGAAATGAGAATAACTAATAACAAGAAAAATGGTGAGGGAGAATAATATATAATAGGGTTTGCAGTTGTCAGAGTGGTGCATAACCAGAAAGAATATATCTGAGAATTGAAGCCAAGGCGTGGGGAAGGCGAAGAAGGGAGTAGGTAAGGAGGGAGGGCATGGGCGGCGGATATATTCGTCAGGGAGACACTAATATGGAAAGATTATCCTATCAAACCACTTCATTTTCATCATATATAACTTTTGGATTGCTAGTTTGCTACCCAAAATATTAAATATTAATGCATTTTGTTCGTGCCCGATAACTAGGCGCCCCGAACCTCCGTGTACGACCGTCCTGGCACGCCCACACCTGCACGCAACACGGCTAAACGGAGTCCTAAAGAGGACTCGTTAGCACTCCAACGCCCAAGTCAGATGCCCTTTCTAGAGAGAGAAGTGAATAGTAATTTTAGAGAGAAGTTCCAACCTAAGTAAATGAGGTTCACCAACTCTCCTATTTATACCTCGGGTCCGGCCGACCGAAATCCCCGTCTCCCGCCTGTCGCCAGACCCGCATTAAATGCGCCGTACAACCAGGCCCCATGCGCCTCGACCACCTGACACCGCCCTCAGTCAGTCGAGGCGCATGACGTCAGGTGGTCCATCCTCCGTACCCTCCTTCCCGTTGTAACTCTTTGTCGCATGCGCCCAGTGTTAGGGCCCGGGCCCCACCTGGCCTGGTGCTACTCTCTGATGAATGGGCTGACTCCCCCCATGCCCCCTTGGGCCTATTGGGCCACACTCCACTACTTGCCCTAGCCTATCCAATCTCACTCTCTTGGGCCCTGCAGGCCTTACCCACTTGGGCCGCGACCATGCCCCCAACAACTGCCCCCCCAGTCTGGCGCCTACGGCCTTTACGTAGGCGCCTGACTGGACCTGAGCGCCTTTCTCCTTTCTTATGCGCCTTGCCCCCCGTACGAACCACTCCCCACCTGTCGCTCCCGCGCGCCTCGTTTCTTGTCCGGTCACATTCCTTTCGGCTTCCCTCATCCTTACCGTCATTATGGGGTTCTCGGGACTCCCCCCCTTCGAGACCCTTGGACTTCCCTCTCACCCGTTTATGCGACCCTTGGTATTCTCCCACTCAGTGGGACTCTTGGGTTTCCCCTATTACTCCCCCCTAGTCCGTTTGGAAATTTGAATTTCGAATTTCAAACTTCGAAACGGACTATCACCCTCTCTTGCCGCTCCCATCTCACTATATATACTCCCTCCCCCCTTTGCCTGTCACTCTCACTCGCCTCCTTTTGCTCTGACCTCTCTCTCCTCTTCGCTCTGACCTCTCTCTTCTTTCTCTCACTAAGCCTTCGTCGATCTCCCACCGCGCGCCCTCCATGTCGACTTCACAGCAACCGGGTTCAGTGCGCTCGGCGCCTTCTGCTGGTGCCTCTCGACCTTCAGGCGCTGCGCCTCAAGGTACGACTCCTTTCCACTCGCGCGTTTTTTTTTTTTTTTTTTTTCAATGCGCCTTCGACGTTTCCTTTGCGCTCTCCTTTTCTCCATGAACCGCCGCTTCCGATGCGCCTTGCGCTTCTTATGCCCATCTTCGAATTCCTTTCTGATCAATCTTTGCCCCTTGCCCCAGGCCCTGACGCATCGCAAAGCTATGCGTTTTGCTCGTGGGAATCGACTTGGGCCTCGGGGCAAGCGCCTGGCAACGTAGCTGGTATGCCCGTGGAGACGGCGGGTCCGAAACATCCCTCAAAGAACATCCTCGTGCGCCTCGAAAAGTTGCTGGTGGCCGCACAGATGCCTGCGCCTTGGCAGTATTGCCATGCGCCCCGCAAGGCCCGGATAGGCGTTTGCGGCGACAACGGCTGGACGGGGATTTACCAGGAATATATCAGGTTTGGCTTGCGCTTTCCTTTGGACCCCGTTCTAGAAGGGGTCCTTGATGCGTGCCAATGCCCGTTGGGGCGCCTCTCTCCCGCCGTTGTGTTGTACTCAGTCCTTTTCCGCCATAAGTGTCAGTTGTTAGGCATCGTACCCACCTTCAAACTTTTCAACCACTTTTTTTGTATGTCAAGGAGCACCAACTGCCTCATCCTACACAAGCGTAGAAAGTTAGGGTATAGCTTCATCCGTAGTTGCCAAAAAATGGGGCGCACGTGGTTCGACTCATATTTTTACGTCCGCCCTCGAGAGATCTCCTTCTGTGCCAGTGGGCGCCCCGCGCCGATGGACTGGTCACTCGGAACTCCCGATTATTTCAATAAGCCCGCTTCTTTAAGCAAGTCGGAATTAGACTGCGCTAAGCGCCTCTCCGAGGAGCCTTTCGACCTTACCGACGATGACGCTTACGTGCAGCTGCTGGCCGACTTTTACCAAGATGGTATCCTGGCTCGGGCGCTTTGTTCCTTATTTTCGGCAGGCGCCCTTGTTCTGTTCGCTGACTCTTGTCTTCTCTTACACTCGTGCAGGTACCGATTTCACTTCGGTGACGTCCATCATCCGATCCCGGCTGGGGATCGGTCAGGATCCCGGGAGTCCTCCCCCTGCAACTGGTGTCTCCGGGCCCTCTGCCTCCGCGCCTCCGAGGCGCACGATCCGGTTCAAGGCGAAGGCCAAGGCAGTCCCTTCCGCGTCTGCTTCGGGCGCCTCGGGTGGGGCTTCTCCCCATCAGAGTTCTGGCCGGGCCGCAGGCAGCCCATCCGCCTCAGCTGGTGCATCCGCGCGGGAGCGCACTCGCTCTCCTACCACCCCCGTCGCCGAATCCGCTCCTCATGCAACGAGGGAGGAGGGTACGCCCTCATCCCCTTCGCCCGTTACCCGGAAGAGATCCGGGGGCGCCCAAGACCGCCCCGCCAAGCGGGCGAAGGCGCCCCAGGCTGACACTACCGGGTTGCCACCCAGCTTCGTGGCGCCCACGATCGGGCCGCATACTGGCCAGGAGATCCCCCCTATCTCCAACCTCCGAGGCGCCCGCTGACCAAGGTCGCTGTTGACTTGCCTGTGAGAGCGGCCAAGGATCTGGGCGCCTCCGTCCAGTGGGCCCGCTCCCAGTATGAAGTGGTGGAGCATCCGGCCGGCCTGATCTCCAACAAGCCTTGGCGTACGATGACCAACCTCACCGCGCAAGTAAGTATTAGTCTCATTTTGACTGCTCTTGCCTTCGTCTTCTTATTTTGTTGTTCCGTTTTTTGTTTTTTTTTTGTTTTTTTTTTCCTAACTTTTCCCATACGCCTCAGATGATGCTCCTTTGCGAGGCCACTGCTCGCGAGGTGGAGACTATCCGGCGCGAAGGCCGCCAAAGATGCTGCACGCCTCCAGTCCGACTTAGATGCTGCTGACAAGCAGCGGGCTGAGTTGACTTCTGCGTGCGACGAGGCGCGCAAGAAGGCTTCTGACGCTGCTGCGCAGCTCGAGGAAAAGCTGGAGGCGGAACGCGAGAAGGTGCGCCTTGAGGAGCAGGCGCGGCACGCGAGGGAGGAGAAGGCGCTCCGAGAGCGGGAGAGCGCCTTAACCAGGGAGCGTGACGCCCTCCTTGAGGAGAGGAACGCCCTCCGCGAGTCAGTGCGTGACTTGGAGGAGGCCAGCAAGAAGGCCAGGAAGTCCAGTAGGCGCTATCACCGGGACCTAAAGAAGGCCCGAGTAGTGGCGGAAGGCCTGAGGCGTGACCTGGATGACTACAAGAATACCACTGCCGGGAAGAACCTTCAAGCAGACACTATTATTAGTACTGTGGAGATTGCCCAACAGAAGCTGAACGCCGACCATCCAGATTGGGTCTTCGATGCCATGGATTTGATGACTCACATCATTGGTGCGATGGAGCAGGCAACTCCCGAGGGTGGGGAAGAACAGGGCGCAGAGAGTGAGGCGCAGAGGGGAGATGAGCAGGGCGCCGATGACCAAGGCGCGGATGGCCAGGGCGCCGACGAGCGAGTGGACCTCAGCGGCAGTGACGGGTCGGATGGCGGGGATGATGGCGAGGAAGACAGTGAAGGGGAGGTTGATGTCGAGGGGTGATGTGGGAACTTTTGTGGGGTATGCCTAATGGTTGTGGGATGTATCACCTTTCTCGCTTTTTTTTTTTATTTTTTTTTTGAATGTTAGAACATTTGTTTTGGAGGAGAAACTCAATTCGCCCTAGCTTTCTTTCTTCATTCCTCTTCCCATCCACGCCTGTGATTTATAGTGCGCAACATTGTTCGGGGCGCTTAGTTAAAACTCGGCATTCATATGATCGTAAAAGGAGGGCGCAAACTAATTAGGGCGCTGTACTTGCGGGCGCTTTACGGAGCGGTGGATGCCAACATGAGATAAGAATTTTCACCCAAGTTCAACTGTAGGAGGGCGCTAAATGACCAGGGCGCTTTACGAAACCAACACTTACGCCAGCAACTGACTTCATTCCATCTAAATTTCTTAAACGGGGCGCGAAGTGACAGGGCGCTTTAGGAGGGCGCTAACTGACCAGGGCGCTTTACGAAATCAACACTTACGCAAGCAACTGACTTCATTCCATTTAAATTACTTAAACGGGGCGCGAAAGACAGGGCGCTTTACAGTAATATAATATGAAAATAAAACTTTAGAGCACTTTAATCTCACTCGTTGAGGCGCATGGTATCCCATGCTTGTAGTAAGTATACCTCCTTCAGCCTGATGAGT